CAGATGTGGGATTGGTAAAGATCTTTTCCCAATCTGTTGGTTGCTGTTTTGTCCTATTGACAGTGTCCTTTGCCTTACAGAAACTTTGCAATTTTATGAAGTCCCATTTGTCAATTCTTGATCTTAGAGCATAAGCCATTGGTGTTCTGTTCAGGAACTTTTCCCCTGTGCCCAAGTATTCAAGGTTCTTCCCCACCTTCTCTTCTATTAGTTTCAGTGTATCTGGTTTTATGTGGAGGTCCTTTATCCACTTGGACTTGAGCTTTGTACAAGGAGATAAGAATAGATTGATTTGCATTCTTCTACATATTGTCCTCCAGTTGAACCAGCACCATTTGTTGAAAATGCTGCCCTTTTTCCACTGGACAGTTTTAGCTCCTTTGTCAAAGATCAAGTGACCATAGGTGTGTGGGTTCATTTCTGGGTCTTCAGTTCTATTCTATTGATCTTCTTGCCTGTCTCTGTACCAATACCATGCAGTTTTTATCACTACTGCTCTGTAGTGCAGTTTGAGGTCAGGGATGGTGATTCCTCCAGAAGTTCTTTTATTGTTGAGAATAGTTCTCGCTATCCTGGGTTTTTTGTTATTCCAAATGAATTTGAGAATTTCTCTAACTCTGTGAAGAATTGGATTGGGATTTTAATGGGGATTACACTGAATCTGTAGATTGCTTTTGGCAAGATGGCAATTTTTACTATATTAATCCTGCCAATCCATAAGCATGAGAGATTTTTCCATCTTCTGAGATGATTTCATCATTTTTCAATGATGGCTGCAAGAATTTAACTATGTTCTGAACTATGGCTCCTTCTGTTGAGGTTAGTCATGGTATCAGTGGTCCCCATATTTAGTAATTATTGGTGATGTTATAACCCTTTGCTGGTGATCCCTATTTTCACTGGAAAGTATTTTAAAATAAATTCCAGCTATGATTAATATACGTATCTTTTAAAAAATATGGGGGCTTGGAAAGGTGGCTCAGCAGTTCATAGCACATGCTGTTCTTCCAGAGGATCCAGGTTCTAGTCCTAGCAACTGTCTGTAACTTAAATTTCAGGAAATCTGATGCCTTTTTCTGGCCTCTACAGGTTACAGGCACTGGATGTATATGGTACACATACACATATGCATATATATATGCAAAGCATGGATGTATGTAAAATAAAAATTTATTCTTAGATAAGACATTGTCTTATGTAACTGTGTTGTTACTGTGAATTGAACATACCCTCCGTCTTACCATTTAATATCCAACATGTAATCAAACATTCTTATAATTACATAAAAGAATGTGTTTCAACATGCTACATTTGAGTTTATTTCATAAATGTCTTGTAATGTGTAATAACTCATCTCCCCTTTTAAGACCTTAAGTGTGTGCATGTACCTGAAGACAGAAAGCAGTAGTTGGATCCCTGGATTTAGAGTTATAACCAGTCCTAAGCTGACTGGTGGGGGTGCTAGGGGCTAAACTCTGGTCCCCTGCTAAAGAAGACAGCACTTTCAACTACTTAGCCATCTCCCCCAGCCAGTCATCTCCCTTCATGCCACTAAACTGTTAACTAAAGCATGGTCTATAAGAGATCATATGATATAAGGTTACTTTATATTATATTTAGTGACATTATATTATATATAAAAGACTTTAGAATAATTGGGAATCAGTTGGTAAATAAAAAGACAAGTATTTTTTTTATCTGAGGAAGTTAGACCATTTTGCTTGGGCAGAAAGATGCTCTTGGTTTGATGAGAAGTCATAAAATAAAGCTGTGACAAGCTCACTGACTATGGCTCTTGCAGCCTCTGAACCAAGCCTGCCTCTCAATTGCAGCATACTCAAGTCCACATGAATTTCTGCTGGAGAAAACTGATGGCCAGTGTGCTTACTTGCATAAATTAGCTTTTTAAAATTTTCATCAACAATCCCAAGACGAGAATGAGGTGACAGACTTATTTATAAGAAAAAGACTACACACTGTTCCTCCTCATTAATTTATCATTTAATATAAATGCTGACAGAAAGCAGATAAAGACCTTTAGACACTTTCATATATTTACAATCCAAAAGGTGAATCACCTCCTTCTATTTGTTAAAATGAATCCTTTTATCTGCAACTTACAAGAGCCTTAAACCCTAATTAGGAGCAACAAGAGGCTGAGTCAGTTTCCAAGTTAATAAAGGAAATAGCATTTTAACAAAATGTGCCATCTTTAATATAAACAACATGCACACAAATAATACAAAATTAAGAGAGAAGGCCTTAATCTTCTCAAGAATATGCAACAAGTGGTACATGTACTCCTTCAGATCCAGAGTTCGGTAGCCCTAAACACACTCCTAGTTCTTTTTTTCCCACCTCATTTGTTTTGAAGGCTGTTTAAAAATGGAAATATTAAACAGATTAAACAAGACAGGGAATGTTCCATTTCAAACAAGGTTCATTTTCTCCTATATAAAAACAACTTCCAGAAGATAATGCCTCCAAATAAAATCTCACTGTTGGCCAGCCAGTAGGGAGTTGGTCACAGGCTGAAGTCCAACCCATCATTTGTTCTCAATTGGAAACATTTGGAAAATGTAAAATTTCAGAAAATTCATTCATTTAAAAGTCAGCTGTTATTTTAACGTTTAATTTAAAAAAACCTTGTGAGCTGGTGGGTAGAAAATGTCAGAAAACAATAGGGAGCTGAGGCAATGGAAAAATACAGGAATGTAGGAAAACCTTTTAAAACGTTATCTTCTGTAGCACTGATTCTGAGAAGGGAATTCACACTACTCATAAAGCCATCTCTATTCTGACTCAAATCTCATGGCTCCTTTACTAACTTAAGATTACTCATGTTAAGTATACCTCTGCAGGGCACAATCACATACAATCAATACGATTGGTAAATTACATAAGCTCTATCCCAAGCAAATATGAATCAATGTTAAAAGTTATTTTTTAAAAACAAAACAAAAACCTAAGAAAGATCCACCCAAAAAGGTGATAATGAGTGCAGAATGTCTCAGGAGACTGGTGTGAGCCGTGAGACCAACTGACCATAGGCAGGGAAGGGCTGCAGGGTGAAAGGGAAAAGACAACACCATGAAGAGGAACCTCACAACTGGAAAGCATTTAGGTGGGTGAAAAGTTTGTTCATAACCTTAGTTCTCTTCCTGCATTACTCCTGGAGAATCAGACTCATTATAGAGGTGCTGAGGCCTATGACCGTGAAGTTTTTTTTTCTTTTACATCTAGAAGGTGGGAAGACAAAGGATAAGAGAGGATAAATGAAAAGTTAGGGGAAAAAAATCTCAAGACTGTCTTAGCTAAACAGGAAACACAGTTTTAAAGGCTTGTAAGTAGAAGAATACAATTTTATGGGGTGGTTTGGATATTACTGTGAAGTGACAGCTAACAAGGCTACACTAATAAATTATAAAAATGATACTTTAAAAAAGGAGACCAAAACCAAACCCAAACCCCACTATCCACCCAGTCTTGCATCCTTTCCTTGACCTTTCCTGCGCTCACTGGAGCTGGGACCACCTGACAGTTTCCAGTTATAAGATGACTCTGAGTGTACAACCTAACACAGAAGCCAAAGACTTGTGAGCTCTGTCTACATATGTAGCACTAAAAGACATAAAACCAAATGAAGAACTAACCAGAATGAGTCTTCAATACAAAAACAAACAAACAAACAAAAAAACCAAACCAAAATAAAAAAAACAAAAAACAAAAGAAGCAAAGGGTCACCTATCTACTATATAATATACACTAGGACAACAAACTCCACAGGATTTCACTTTTCTAAATACATTTTTCTGACACAGTATTGTCTTAAAGTTTAAGTTTTCCACCTTGGGTTACAACGCCTTACTTTCTTGTGAAAATGAAGGTTACTTTGCTCAAGGTTAAGTTCAGGGAAATTCAGTGTTTGTCTGAAATCCAGAGGCTCTAAGAACAATTCCAGTGCTAAGGGAAGTCCCTTTATTACAATGGGATTCCAAGGGCTCTTAACTCACTTATTCAGTGTAGTATTGAAACCTACATACTGAGAAGACTTACTAGAAGGTGTCACTTGCTCCTGGGGGGTGGCAGTTTCCTATTCTTTATTAATGTAACTAGAATTACCAATCAATTAAAATATGTTACTTATGAAAACACCTTTAGCAATTATAGAAATAAAATGTTAAAATTTCAAATAATGTTATTTCCTGTATCTTTTGAAAAAACAAAACCAGTTCTTCGAAGTGGCTCAGAAAAGCTGATTGAGAATGTTAAAAAAATATGTTAGCACAATTTACCAAAAACTCCCAGCAGGAAATTTTAAAAAGCTGAGCTATATTTTAAAAAAAAAAAAAAAGCCATAGCTGTCCAAAGTAGACTTCAATGTGTTTCTGCAAAACAAGCACTCACTCAGGTAAAATGGTGTCAGTAGTAGACTGCTTGTTGTCTCAGTGAGGTTGTCCAATCTGAGTTTGATTTTCAGGGATGAGATCCCTTTGCAACACTATAAGCATATATTAACAATTAAGATTTTAACACACTTGAACCTTTTAGAAGGCAAGAGTGTAATAGTGTAATACTGCAGTTATTTGCAAGGTCATTACTTCCTCTTGAAAACTAATTAGGCTGTATCTTTTAATAAATCATTATGGATGGTTTTTACACAAAGATTTTACATATTGAGCTCTTTACTTGATTCTTTAAAAGCATAAATGAAAAATATGGTGAAATTTCATTCTCCACCATTTGTACATAAAAATAATAGCAAATGAATCCCATTTAGTGAAAATAAGCTGTCCCTGAACATAAGCCAAACAGGTACTAAGTAACTACAGTAATTGTTTCTCACAAGCATCAAGCTCAGGAAGAATCCCCAGACCCAGGACTTGACCATAGTGAAAATACATTGTCCTGTAGGCACAAGTGAAAGTACAGAAAAACACAGAAGATAGTATTACATCAAGATAATCCCCCAAAGGGAGAGTGAGTTGCTTAAACAAATATTGTCAAGGATGATATTTACTGGTTTAGAGAAACTGATAAATTTTCATTACTTTTACATTTTATAAGGCCAGCTAACCTTAACAGTTAACTGTAGACATTTACACCGCACAATCAACTTACAAATACTACCAGATTTCATAATCAAAATGGCTACTATTTCCCCTAAAACCAAACAGAGTAAAGCACAAGTCTTTGGCGCTCCTTAAAGAAATAGCAAGTTATTATTCTTTGCCAGACCTTTGCTTGCCTGCCAGTAGGGCAAATACCACATCTGTGCATCACTGAGTAATAACGCCATTAGAAAAGGCAACTTCACAGAAGTCATTGGCTAAGCGAATTCATTTGAATGCTCTGTTTAGAAGCAGCAAACTGTCACTGTTACAGATTGGGTAAGTCAAGGGGAAACTGCAGAATGGCAAGGGGTCAGGAAGAAAAGAAAAAAAAAAAAAGACAATCATGGGAAACTTAGAAACTAAATTTCAAGCTCCCACACTGAAGCTCATGGGAGTCTGATGGGATCATGTATCCAAGTAGCACGTGAGAATTGTATCCATCTTCTGCTGTTAGGCAAAAGAATAAATACATGGGAAAAAAAACACAAGGAAAGGAAGATGAGAGAAGGAATGACCCACATTAATGCCGTACGTGCCAGACAAGTTCTTATACATTCTGAGTAGTTGAATATTTGTAATTACTAATAATAGTGTCTTGAACATTGATGTCATTTGAACATCACTACTAGAAACCTATGGTACAAGTTCTGTTTAACTAGAAAAGTAGTAAGAAATGGCTCTTTGGTCACATTCAGACTCTGACTATAAATAGGAGACTGAGCCTAGATATCCCATTCTCAGATCCTTTATCACTTTCCAGAGACTCACTGAAAACAGAATGAGCCAAAGTACTTTTTTATTCACTACAGTTAACATACTGACTTTGTTTCTGAACAAGTATGAATATAATGCTGCATAACCCTTCCAGAATTGTCTGTGTTCATCTGAGATGATTCTTGCTCTTGGATACAGTAAAAAGGAATCATCTTCAGAAGAAACCATTTAAGTGAAAAACCATACATACACATTGCTGATCGTGGTGAGCATGGTGGCATGTGCCTGAAATCCCAGTGTTCATTCACAAGGTTGAAGCAGAAGGATCTTGAGTTCAGAACCAGTGTGGGCTACATGCTAAGACTGTCTTTAAAAGGGCAGGGCTGGTGGTGCAGAAGCTCTACTTCCTATTTGATCGGCTTCATTTTTTAAATGTCTCTAAAGACACAAATAAAAATCAATGCTTTTCAGATTTTAACAAAAAAAGCAGTTAAAAGTCATAAAGTTATGCTTTAATTTATTGTTGCCTCATAACATCGAGTTTGTTAAAGGGGGAAAAAACCCTCCAAGTTGTGAGAGGTTTTATTGAATCCCTAAACCTGCCAGTAGGCACAAATAATACTGTCTACCCCCCCCCCAAAAAAAACCAACCCCAACCACCTAAAAATTGGTAAGGGAAAATAACCAAATAGCAAAATTGTAGGCTCAGTCTTCCACTTTCTACCCAACCCAGAATGGCTACAGAGATGAGGCGTGGGGAACTCATAATACCATTTAAAAGACTAATTTTCTTCCCTAAATAAAAATACACCTAAAAGGGGACTAGTGCACCGCAGCAGAGTGTACATTTTGAGGATTTCATACACTACAATGGAAATTTACTTTTACTCTTAACTCCCAAGAAAACCAATATGCAGATTTTCCCTTAATTATTCCAATTTTTAAAACAACAACAACAAAAACCCATCTGCTTCTAAGACTTAGGAATTATCTTGACATGTTCAAGGGAGATAAGATCCACCTGAATCTGTCTACGAAAGGCAAGAGGCCAATAATGTGGCGTTTTATAGATATACAGAAAAATAAAAATCCTGTCAGACATAACATTTCTTTCCTTATCTCAATAAATAATGAGCAAAGTATAAATGTAAGAGACATTTTATCTTTAAAAAAAAAAAAAAGCCAAAAAAGCAAATGTACAAATGTGTATTTAAAATTAAAAGGAAAATGTATGCTTCAACTGAGAAATGCCTCACCGTCATTCGGTGCCTCTACCTCCCAATCAGTCATCTTATTGCAACAGCTGCGCTCATGCGAAGAAATCTTTAAAACATACCCGATATATATACAGATATAGCCATGTATATGTGTATATATATAATATATATATAAATTTTTATTTAAATAAAAAAGAAAGCTCGAATCCCAAGCCAATATGTGTATATCAAATCCTTGACCAGCCAGGTCTGTAGGGCATAATCAAATTCAATGTGAAATAGTATATAAACACGGTGCCTTGACTGGGCAAATTAAATAATCGCTACTCAAATGAGTGTTCTGTTTGGATATCCTACTGGTAGGCAATGGCAAGACTATTTTTCCCTTCCCACCCCATCCCATTCTTATCCCACCCCCACCCACTTGTTTCAATTAACAAGATGATGGACACAGAGCTTAGACTGAGGTGGCTCTGACCTCAGCAAGAGTTAAGGGTTAAGAATATACGAAATAAGGAAAATAAAACTTTGCTTTTACCCAACCAAAGCAATGCAGTAACTTATTACATAACCAGTGCTTTCTTGTTTAGTAGTATCATCTAGAAAGGGAAACTGACATCAGGCAATCAGAGGGATGGAGTGATTCTACAAAATGGTGCCCCGCTGAACTCATTTTAGAGGGGCTTAGTAAATTAAGCATACAGTGGTAGCATTAGAATATGTGCAGCAGAACTAAACATTTTTAATGTCAGAAAGCCAGGTCTATAAAAACCCACTTCAAGTTTTTTATAGTTATGTTAGTAATTATGAGTACTGACAAGTGATCAAAGCATGAACTATCCTGAAGACTCAGCTTCTATCTGTCAAATCGTTTACACTTTTGAAAGGAAAACAAAAATTCCGTTGAAATAATGTGTCCTTATTTACTGAAGTTCATATCAAGTGTTTTTTTATTTTAATTTAAAGTTTTTCTTCATATGTGTGGTTTGTCTGTGTATATGCACATGCACCCATGTGTGTCTGGTATCCACGAGGGCCAGAAAAGGGTGTCAGGTCCCTTGGAAGTGGAGTTATGGGCAGTTGTGAGCCACCTTGTGGGTGTTGGGAAGAACCCGGGAGAGAAGCCAGTGATCTTCTGCTGAGCCATCTCCAAGTTTTAGAATATGGTTCACTGTCCTGGTGTTTCTATTCTAGGGTTTCAAGAGAAGTTTAATTTGTAAGCACAGTTCGAATTTTCCAACATGAGCTCAACACAGGAGAACAGGCATTGCCTATTTTACTATTAACAAGTTGAAGCTCATTTCTTTTCTTCTTCTGGTTTTCTCCTGCCTCAACATCTTGAGTCCAGGGATTACAGGAATGAGCCATTATGTCCAACTTAGAGTTCATTCTTAAAGTAAAATAATTTTCATTTAAATCTAACTAAACATTGTAAACACTAAATAGGCTTTCAGATTTTATGGAGAGAATGCAAGGAATCCTTAACATGGAAATGTGTGGCTCAAACCATCAACTGCATGTTGACATCTCTGAAAAGTTGAAACTAAAACTTTACCCTACTCAAATAAAGTTTTACTGTTGTAGAAAAAAACCCAAGTATCTATCCATGAAGCTAGTGATCCAGAGGCAGGGCTGGGGTGGGGGGGAATTAAAGAATAGCTCTAATAAAATTAGTTTGCTGCACACTTTCTAACAACCCACTCCGTTACCACAGAATTCTGAGAAACGGTGCATTTTGTCTATTTTAGCTTACAGGGTTGTAGGAGTTGGAAAGGACTGGGAAAAAGGAATTATACACTGGGTATGTAATAATACCAAAATACAAGAAAAACCTACTTCATCAAGATCATACAATTAATCAAACAGAGTGTATATATAATATCTTCTTTTTTTTTTAAAGCCCCGGATCCAAGGCGTCCAAAGTTATTAAAATAAAGTTCATTCACAGAACAAAAACAAATTTAATCTGAATTGCTTGCAGATACTGCTAATTTTCTTTTTCTTAAAATTAAAAAAAAAAATGCATCAATGTGAACTATGTGCAGGTTTGTTTAGTAGTGGTGTTTGTGCACATTGCCTCCAGTGCTTTTCCTGGACTTCACTGACCACTCAGAGAAAAAGTTTAGAAGTTATCCATTTTTCTATCCCTATGCCCCATGAACTGATTAGGAGCAGAAGGTAGAAGCAGGCACCCATATTCTAGGGAGCAGAATTGGAAACACCTCCTGATCTCTGGGAATCACTGTTATCTCCTCCTCCCTCAGGGTCTTCTGACAGGTTCAAAGAGCTGGTCTTGTTTGACAGGAGGCTGAGACTCTCTTGTGTCAAGGCTGATCCATTTGGTACATCACTGTAAATTACATGAAAAAACAGGCAGAACTTTCAGAAGGAGAAAAGCAATTACTCTAAATAAAATCCAATCAATAGGGCATATTATTTGGCACTGTAGAAAAATATGAGGCAGGAGTGGTAGCATATGCCTTTAGTCCAAGCAGAGAGCAGAGATAGGCTGGTCTTTATCAGTTTTAGGTTAGCTTGGTTCCAGGCCAACCAAGGCTAGCTACATAATGAGACTGTCTCAAATAGTCAAAATAAAGATAATGACATAAATAGCTTCCAAATATCGATTATAACTCCTCATCCACACTGTAGCATAAAGCTGATAAACTAAAACTGACAAGCTTCCTATTCTATACATAAAGGTTTTGTCAGCACACAACCTGCATATTTGCTTATACTGCCGCTTACATATTAGAAAACTGAACTAAGAATTACAACAAACAGGAATGGTAGTGACAAGCACTTGAGAGGCAGGGACAGGCGGTGAGACTCCTCCCTCCCCACAACCCCCAACATCCCAAAAGACCTATACCTTAAAACATTTGCTGCCTGGCATTTAAGAAAAAGTGCTACCCTCCTATTTACCTGAGCCTAGGCCAGTGTATAGATTTAAAATAGCCAAAAGCCAAGAAGACAATAACAGGACAATTAGAAATTCTTTGTGTTTGATCTTTTTGTTTTTGAAATAGGCTATTTCTACATAGTTCTGGCTATCCTGAAACTTACAATGTAGACCAGGTTGACCTCAAACTCACAGTGAGTGCTAGGATTAAAGGTATGTGCCACCATGTCCAGCTACATTATAACTTCTTGTGATAGGTAATGAGGAGGTCAAAGGACTATGGATTCAATCAAATCTTCAAATAAGCCAAAGAAAATAAATAAGGATATACAAATGAATTAAATACTGTATTATGGGAGAGATCAAATAAAAACGTGGCTGGGGATGGCCTAATCCCACCCTGTCTCAAAAGACCAACAAACCCCAATCTAACCCTACAACACTAGCAAGGCGAAGTGTTTTGTATATAACTGAAGGGGGTTGGGCACAAAACCCTGGAATAAAGTTTAATGGTAAAATATGTGCTTATTTGTAAGGGTCTGAGTTCAATAGCCAGCATGAAAATGAAATAAAAACAGTAACAATATAATGGGAGGTAGGTTGGCTTTTAATCATTTTTTAAATTTTAATTTTTATAGTGAGTATATATTATGTTTTGTAATTCAAAAGCATAAGACTACACTTAAAGCAATGAGAAGAAGGAAATGTAACCAGAAAATGTATTTGCTAGGAATTAACAGATAATTGAGCCCCAGTAAAGTGCTAAGTTTTGTGTATACATGTGTTTTGATAGTCTCACTTTGCAGTCCAGACTGACCTCAAATTCCTCTCTTCCTACCTCAGCCTCTCCAGTGCCCATAGCTATATCCTACTCCAACTTCTAAAGTAAAATTTTAATTTTAGGTTTAGGAAAAACATATTCTTTTCTACAGAGAGTGTTTCAAGATAGCCAGGGCTACACAGAGAAACCATGTCTTGAAAAACACCAATGTATATATTCATATTCTTTTCTCTGTACAAAAAATAGATATTTTAAGAATCAAAACATATTCACACTTTGCGTATGGTCAGGTAATAAAATTATTTCTCTCTCTAGTTGTAAAAGTGTTCCTCCCTTTACCTGAATGTCATTGTAAGGTCCTCAGTGGGGACCTTGTTTTGCGGCTCTGGCTGTCCATTTTCTGCTTGCTTACTTGTACCCAGTTTGTTTTTCATGTCTACAGAACACTGGTTCTCCTTAAAAGAAGAGGAAATAAAGTCAGTAATCTATGGTGTAATGGGTTAGACCAAATTCACACAAAACAGACTGATGATCAAAAAAAAAAAAATCATTCCTATTTCACTAAGAATTAACAACAAAAAAACAGGTAGATGAGATAGTATACACAAAAGTATAACAGTACAACCCACCTTCTCACTATCTTTTGAAAATGCTACATACTAGCATGAAAAACAGCACAGAGAACAGTGTACAAACTATATCTCCTTTATAAAAGACCATGAAAAGTAATGTTTTATTGTATAAACATATCTTAATATTATAGAGTCCAAAAGAGTAAACATCATCCCATCTGCTTTCCTAATGAGTACATTAAACAGAAACTTTAAAATTTCCAATTAATTGCCTTGTTTTCTCCAAAGTCTATGACGAAGGACAAACTTAAAACAACAGGAACTAAGAGAGGAATGATACCACCAGATGACAACTCATCTTATTAGAATACCCTAAATATTAGTCATTCCTCAAGGTACCTGGAACCAGCTCCAGATGACTCTAAACTCGAGAGTCACAGAGTTCAATTCACCTTCCTCCCTTCCCTACCACCAGGACTCACCATACTCAATTCCCGGGTCCTCTTCCCAATTTCCCTTTCCACCTGATGCAGTTCCAAGCTTAGCTGCTCACTTGAGATCATTCCAGGCCATTTTGGAGGCAGTGGAGGGGGCTGTGGTTGGCTTGCCAGGGTGTTCACCTCCCTCTGTAACACTAGCCGGTTATTAACAGCCTAGTGCACAAAGCCAAGCACACACATAACTCAGCATACCTCATGCCACATAAAAAAAACCAACTTTACTCAAAGTATTTTACCACTAAGCTAGCCACAAGTTTGCAGTTAAAACAATCCAACTATAAACATATTCTGCTTTAGTAGCACTTGAGAAAAAATAGCTTTTAAAAGATGTATTTTAGCCGGGCGGTGGTGGCGCACGCCTTTAATCCCAGCACTTGGGAGGCAGAGGCAGGCGGATTTCTGAGTTCGAGGCCAGCCTGGTCTACAGAGTGAGTTCCAGGACAGCCAGGGCTACACAGAGAATCCCTGTCTCGAAAAACCAAAAATAAAATAAAATAAAAAAGATGCATTTTATTTTTGAGAGAGAGAGAGAGCATAAGTTGGTGTGTACACATTACATGTAAGTGCAGATGCCTATGGGTGCGAGAAGAGAGTGCTGAATCCTCAGGAGCTGGAGTTACAGGCAGTTGTGAAACAGGATCCAAACTTGGATCCTCTGCAAGAATAGTAGACATATCTCCAGCACCAAAAATAATTTATTTTTTTTTCTATTTCAAAGAGAAATCAATTATAAATGTGCACCTTTCTTTCTGATTGCTATTTTCCAAACTATAAATTCTGCATTTTTTTTTCTATAAAAACTCAATGTTCTTGAGGTAGGATTTTTCCTTTCTCCCCCAAGTACTACTCTCAGACAATATTCTTTTTCTATTAGTCAAGAATTAACTTTAGTTCTGAGTTCTCTAAAGAATATATATCTATACTAACACTTAAGCAAAGGTTTTAAAATTCTGTGCTTTACTGTATCTCAAAAATTACTAATTAATGAGCCGGGTGGTGGCGCATGCCTTTAATCCCAGCACTTGGGAGGCAGAGGCAGGCAGATTTCTGAGTTCGAGGCCATCCTGGTCTACAGAGTGAGTTCCAGGACAGCCAAGGCTACACAGAGAAACCCTGTCTCGGACGAAAAAAAAAAAAAATTACTAATTAAGGAGACTGGAGAGGTGTTTTGATGGTTAAGATCAGATACTGCTCTTGTTGAGGCCCTGGGTTCTATTCTCAGCATACATGTCAGGAGGTCTACAACAATCGCTGTAACTCCAGCTCCAGGCAGATCTTCCAACATCTGTATTCATGTGCACATACCACCCCACAAAATACATATACAGATGAAAGAAAATTAACTAATTTAACAAACTAGGGAACCCTTCAAAACTAGAGCACAAAATAGGTGCAGTGCTGAACACCTGTAAACTCAGTGTAAGTACGAATGTGGCCAACACAGGAGAGTCTGAGTTTGAAGCCAGGTGGGCTATACAATGGTACTCTACATCAAAATTCTTGATACAAGAAAAAAGTATCTGTAGGTCTGTACCTCTAGTCCACGGAGCTGGGTCTGCTGGCTGATCTGATGGTTCAGTTGCTGCAATTCTAGCCGTAATTGTTCTCTTTCAGCAGACAGAAGGGGTTTTCCATGACTGACCACTTCTGCCATAGACATTTTCTCCCTTTGGTAAGAAAGGAAGAAACCATGAGGTAAATTTTGTGTATACAAAGCAAGGAAAGCTAAATGCTCCAAATATTTATACCAAGTAAAAAGAATGGCGATACCTCTCAATGAAGTGTCCCTGAGGAGGTAGGTTTGGATGAGGTGAGTATGGAGAGTCTCCCCAGCCACCATGAGCTCCATATGCACTGTAATCTGTAAAGGAACAGTTTATTGTGGTTTTATTATGACGTAATTTACTAGTTTGATTCATCTAAGGTACTATAATCGAAAAGGCAAAGGCACACTGTATATGTATATGTAGAAAGCTATCTGCCAAAATGACAATGCTATTATTTGTTTTTTCCACACTGAACCTTCAGTTTTTACATATTTTCTTTTCACTGTGTGCACATGAGTGTTTGAGATGAGGGTTGGTATCATATTATCTTCCCAAAGAACCAGGATTACACACACACACACACACACACACACACACACACACACGCCTAAATTTCATGTGGGTACTGGGGATCCAAATTCAAATCTTCTTTATCTAGCCAGTCACCTCCTCAGACTCCAAGAATCTTACTTTAATAAACAATGAAATTATTTAAGATAAAAGCCACAAACAATTCTTCCCTTTTCTTTCTTTTGAGACAGGATCTCTAGTCCAGAACAGCCTTGAAATCACTATATACCTGAAGCTGCCTTCTCTCTCTCTCTCTCTGTCTCTGTCTCTGTCTCTGTCTCCAGTTTGGATGACTGGCATGTGCCATAATATTTGGTTTCTGTGAATCCAGAATCCATATATTAGGCATACACTCTATCAACTGAGCTACACCCTAGCCCCCAAGTAGTCTTAATATATAAAGATTTAATTTTAGTTTACACTCCTAAAAGTGCCCGACGTACAATTACTTTCTTACAGGAAAAGTTTAAAAATCATTGTCTTTAAGAGTCTTAAAAGCACTGATAGAATTACACTGAGAATCATGATTACTACTCTAGGATTCTTACCAGAAATGTTAATAGATTTTGTGGGTGCTCCCTGAGGTGCGATAGCTTGCATTGGGCCAGCACCCTGATACAGTGTTTTAGATGTTCGAGAGATGGCACCAAATCGAGATACTGTTGGTCGGTCTCCAAATGGGATGAGATCATCATCACTAGTTTCCACTGCTCTTCTCTGAAGATCCAACCTCTGGTCTCTCATTCCTTTACTTTCTACATTCTGACAAAAAGCAAAAGTGAGATGATACTTAGCATAATTTCCACTAGCTCTGTAAAGGGGTTAATAAGAGTATGAGCTCTTATTAGTAAGAATAAGTCTTTAGTTGTCTTTGGATGTCATATAAAACATTGGTTTTAGATCACAGTAAGAATTATATGACCAACTTTGAGTACAGACAGATGATAGTAGATGACAAATCTACCCATTCCTAAGTAATATGTACGAACATTAGCTTGTCAAGCAAGCACTTTACCACTGAGCTATATATCTAGCTCATATACCAATGCTTGAGAGGCACTGAGTTAAGACTTCTTTCACATATCCAGAAAAACTTTTAATGGCATCTATACTAAGTTAGTAATTTTGTTATCTTTTTCCTGATTTAACAAAATTAATTTTACTTTGCTAATGTTACTTCAGTGTGATAACCCTTTTGAAAGCACCTTACATTACTATTCTATTTCAACTCATTCTGGTAAAAGACTTCCTGTGATGTAGAAGCATACATTTGCTCACTGAAGTACACTGAAAGTTTTGTTTCAACTTAATTTCACCTTATTTGATGCTGGGAACCGAGCCCAGGACCTTGCTCTGTCATACTCCCAGTCCCCTTGCAGGTTTGTTTTTTATTTAATTATCTTTTCTTACTCTGGCCTGTCATCTATTTGAACTGGTTTTATCTTGAACCAGCTAGGTAAACATCTATGAAAACGTACACAAATCAGCAGGGAACCTTCAGGGATTAACAGGGAAAATGTTGTCAAGTGATACCTTTAATCCAGCAATACCACTGATTTCCTTCCTTCCTTCCTTCCTTCCTTCCTTCCTTCCTTCCTTCCTTCCTTCCTTCCTTCCTTCTTCCCTCCCTCCCTCCCCTCCCTCCCTCCCTCCCTCCCTCCCTCCCTCCCTTTCTTTTTTAGAAGACAGAGTCTCACTATGTTATCCACCATCTCTGTGCTCCCCTCCTCACCCCCAGCACTTAGATTAAAGGTGTTCAAAACCACATTCAGCCTTTTTAAAAATATATATATATAGTTCAAGCTGGCTCTGACCTTATCATCCATTTGGCCAGGAATACATGTCTAAGCATAACTTTCATAGATGTGCACAAAGAGTCTCTACAAAGCGTCCATTAACACTACATAGGGGCTAGAGAGATAGCTTAGCAGTTAAGAGAGCTGCTTCTTGCAAAGGACCAGGTTCTAATCCCAGCACCCACATGGTACCTCATAACCATCCCTACCTCTAATTCCAGGATATCTATCTAATGCTCTTTGACTTCTGAGGATGTCAGATACATATGTGAAACACTGACATACATGTGAGCAAATCACTCATACATATAAATATAAGCAAACCAAACCAAAAAAAAAAAAATCTTTAAAACATGAAGTGAAAAAGTATACATAACGGTAAAAGAGCATTTAACATTGATCTATAACTGTAGCTACTGGTGAGGCTAAGAAAAGAGCTCCACAAGCCTGAGATTAGCTTGTGCTAAGCACAGAGTTATTTCAAAGCCAACCCAAAACTTAGTGAGGCGCTTTCTCAAAAAGGAAAGAGTAGCAGCTGAGTGCAGTGGCACTTGCCTAGAGTCCCAGATACTCTGTGGGATGAGACAAGAGGGGTTCTTTATGCAAGAACAATACAGAAAAACCCAGTGGGTTTTTTGCTTAAAAAAAAAAAAAAAAGTAGTGTGCAGTGTGCAGTGTGTGTGTGTGTGTGTGTGTGTGTGTGTGTGTATGTATGTATGTATGTATGTATGTGTATCTAAGCAATAAAATTTAAACTCAGGGAAGAGGTTACTTACTGACAGGGAGGAGTAATCGAGAAAAATGAGATTAGGGAGGTTAACTACTTTTGCAAAGTTTTATTGTTATGAGGTGAAATTAATATGTGAAGTACTGATACAGAAATACAGAAATATTAAACCTTGAGTTGCTAGCTACACAGCTATTATAGTCTCATTTAAAATAAAAAATACTCATTAAAAAATATTTTAGATTTCTTTACCTAATAAATTAACTAAGTTGGTGGTTTAAACTTAAGACTTGTAAGAAGTGAGTTTTAGCCGGGCGGCGGTGGCGCACGCCTTTAATCCCAGCACTTGGGAGGCAGAGACAGGCGGGTTTCTGAGTTCGAGGCCAGCCTGGTCTACAGAGTGAGTTCCAGGATAGCCAGGGCTACACAGAGAAACCTTGTCTCGAAAAACCAACAACAAAAAAAAAGAAGTGAGTTTTAATTTATTTGGTACCCAGGTGCTAGGATTAAAGTTTAGAAGTACCACTGCTGGGAAAATTATTTTAATTATGTGTCTTTGTACATCTGTGTGTATATATACACTGAGTAGGTGCCCACAGAAGCCAGGAGGGCACTGGATCATCTGGAGCCAGAATTATAGATGGCTGTGAACTGCCCAACAGGAGGGTTGGGAACAGAACTCAGTTCCTCTGCAACAGCAATGTGCTCTCTTAAACACTGAGCCATCTCTCCAACCCCGAAATCTAGGATCTTGATTAAATACTTAAAATGATTTAACTTGGGTTCTGGACAATTGTTGGGAAATTGCTACCTAAAATGCTATATAATAAATATTCTTCTTTGTCAAGATAATAATATATTTTATACTTAAATGAAACAAAAACAAAGCCCAATTAGCTGTTCCTATAATTTAATAGATGAGAATTAATGTATCTAGATTTGTATTAATTATGCTTAGCCATTACACATACCATCATTTCCACACTCCCTGCTGCCACAACATCTTTGGGTTTTGCATCTTTGGTTCCAATGTAGGAGCCGATGGTATCACATGACCAAGGAGAATATTGGCTATAGTCATTTGCTTTGTATTTTCCAGCTACCTTCAAGTCTTCATCCAAAAACTATAGATAAAGGGGGGAAAAAACAGGAAATGGGTCTATGAGTTAACAAAACAGAAGAAGTGGGGAACGTCTAGACCAAATTAAAGCAATATAGTGATAGTTATTTGATTATTAAGTGTCAGAACATATTTTTATAGATTTAAAAATGTGAAGATTATTTTAGCCTTCATATTTGTTATTGGCAGCTAAAGAAAGAAAGAAAGAAAGAAAGAGAGAGAGAGAGAGAGAGAGAGAGAGAGAGAGAGGAAGGAAGGAAGGAAGGAAGGAAGGAAGGAAGGAAGGAAGGAAGGAAGGAAGGAAGGAAGAATTTCAACATCCTTCAGCAAATCAAGCTAGGATCTTAACAACTTCGCTCATCATTCCCTCCACTATCTTAGATAAGGTCAACATTTCAGCAAATCATGCCGTACATTTGCTAAGTTGCCGTCAATGTGCTTTAGTAACACCTCCAGTAAGTGAGAGCATTTTTTGCATCTCAGATGCTTTATGAGGTAGGTAGTAATGCAACAACTCTTTGCTGATACTTCTTCAACTGCCTTGAATACATTCTGGCCCAAGGTTGACTCAGTTAAGTAAAAGAGTAAAATGCATCATTTTTATCTTCTTGACTAAAGTTCTGTGATTATCCAACAACAATATTCCATTCCAAGGCCAATGTATTTTTTGTTAAATTGTAATATTTATACTTTTATAATGCTAAAATATTTCAAAAAGCCCTAGTTCATGTAGAACAGCTAACTTTTAGACTATACTAATACCTAGCAAATAGGCTCTTCTATCTGAATGTTATATATTATGCAGCTATGAAATTTACATCAATATTGATACCCCCAAACCAAAACCAATCCACAACTCCACACCACTCCAACAAACGTGTTCGTGCACATAAGAAAGTTGAAATAGATAACAAAATTGTTGGTTGTTATAGGAAGCGGGAATTTGAAGAAAGTATTATTTCTATGTCATGTATTTCTGTAATGTATAAATTTAGGACAACTATATATAGGCTGCTTATAATCAGAATAGAAGCTTAAATATAGAGCTAGCCAGGTGTGGTGGTGAATGCTATTAATCCTAGCACTCTGACAGACAGAGGTGCTATGAACTCCAGTTTAGATTACCTTCATACATTAAACAAGTTACTATTTATTGTGTATAATAATCTTCACTTTATTGTATTTTTAAATGGTGTCTTGAAATGGTAGCTCAGGGTGTCACCACCACATCTAGCTTTCACCTTCCAGTTTTCATTGCTTATCATATACAGTTTGTCAGTTGGCAATGTTGTTTAGACTCACAATTTTACATATAAAGAATGTAAAACATTCCCCAACACACACACACACGCACACACCTCAAGACAGGGTTTCTCTGTGTATCCCTGGCTGTTCTAGAATTCACTCTGTAGACCAGACTGGCCTTGAACTCACAGAGATCTACCTACCTGCCTTTGCCACCCAAGTGCTGGGATTAAAGGCATGCACCACCACTACTCAGCTATTACACATATTCTTACACATATTATTTGATTTGGAAAACAAAAAAACCTGTACACCAATAATATATATATATCTCAAATGAATAAAGTATGAGACAAGGTTTCATGTGTCGTAGGTTGGACGCAAACTAGTTATGTAGCCAAGGATGATCTAGAGCTTTTGATCCTCCTGCCTCCTTGCCCAATTTACAAGGCATTATGGATTGAACCTAGAGATTTGTGCACGCTAGGTAAACACTCTTCCAACTGAGCTACAGTCTCAGCTCAGGCTGTCTAATTAAAAAACAAATATAATTGATAAATCCCTGGAAAAACTAACCATTGAAAAAATATTAGTGTCAGAAATGAAAAAAAAAAACAAGGACAATACACATTCATGATATCTATAAGCAATGTTTTGCTGGGCATAGTTGTCCACACCTGTAATCCAAGCACTTGGAAGGCTAAGGTAGGAGACACTGAATTTGAGTCCAGCTTGAGTGAATTCAAGGTGAACCTAGTCTAAAATGTGAGATTCTGTTTCAAAACACCCCAATCCAAAACAAATCTATTAGCACTATTTTATACAAACATAAACGTAACACTCAAAATTATGGCACTATGGTACATAAACCAAACACCCCTTATAATTTTTACCATCTACCCATATTTGTTCATCTTTCCTATTTTTTTACCCACACTATTGGTTTCTTCATTGCTAAATTAAAAATACATCTTAATTTATGTCTCAATTATTTAAAAATTTAAAGAACTAAACTCCCAGCTCCCAACACATATATCAACTTTTGAATTGACTACTAGGAGAACCTAAACCAACAAGTCCAGACTTCAGTAAAACACTCTACTGAATTAGGGATCAGCCAGATGGCTCAAGTGAAGTATGTGCCATGCAAATCTGACAACTTAAGTTTGGATCCCTGAAACCAAAAACTGACTTCTATCTCATGAGCCGCCCTCTCACCTCCACACATGCCCACCCACATCCCCCAAGACACACAAAATGAATGAATGAATGAATGAATGAATGAATGAATGAATAAATAAATGCAGTACTGGTATAAAGACAGAAATAGACCAATGAAACGAGATATTTCAGAATCATAGTTGGTTATCTATTATTTTCTCAAGACAGTAGTGAAGGCTGGCTTCTGCTTCAGTATCCTACTGTGTTAGAACATATGACATCACCACATCCACCTTAATTAACTAGTTATAGAAAAGCTGACTGTAGGACACTGAAAAAAGGATGCTAAAATCAGGAAATAGTATAAGGCCAATGAGCTATTCCTACAGAGGGAAAAATGGACCTTGATTCTAACAGTTCATTTAATAAATTTTAAATGAGTTATGAATCTAAATGTATAATAAAACAATGAGTCTCTGGAAGAAACCCAGAAAATAGCCTCATAATTTTCAAACTTGATAAACATTCCTTTGGAAACAGATTTCTCTCTCTCTCTCTCTCTCTCCCCCTCTCTCCCTCTCTCCCTCTCTCCCTCTCTCCCTCTCTCCCTCTCTCCCTCTCTCTTTCTTTCTTTCTTTTTCCCCCAAAATAGGTTTCTCTGTGTAGCCCTGGCTGTTCTGGAACTCACTCTGTAGAGCAGGCTGGCCTCAAACTCAGAGATCTGTCTCTGCTTCCTGGGACTAAAGGTATGTGCTACTACTGCCTGGCTCTTATAATTTGTTAGACAGGCTACAATAAGTGATAATGGTAAACTAATAAGCAAGATTAAAAATAATATGCTTACTTCCTCTTGATGGAATGCAGGAGGCAATGTTGGTGAAGGTGCAAAAGGAGGTGGGGAGATGACTTTTCTTTCCTCTAGCTGGGCCATTATTTCTTTCCGCCTTCGATGTAGTTCATCCAGACTAGGATGGGGTTGGGGAGGAGGAAGTCGACTATAAGGAGGATCCTGGTAATTGAAAGAATATTTAAAACTGACCAAGAAAACCAAAGCTCATTTATTTTATATATATATTTTTTTTCAGGCAAAGAATATATATATATACCCATCATAACATCTAGAAATATCAACACTAAAAAGAATAAAGTCAACTCAAACTCTCTCAAGATCTTCCAAATTTCCCTTAGTATACAAATGAAGAATGTTTAGATTTATATTTTTGTTTTTTAAAATAATAACTTCAAATTTCAGGACCAAGAAGATGGCGCATCAGATAAAAGCACTGTCTTGGCTTGCAAACCTGACAACCCAAGGCTGATCTCTGGAAACCATGGGGCATACATGTAATCCCAGGACTGTTATGGTGATATGGGAGGAATAAACAGAAGCCAGAAGCTTGCAGACAAGCTAACCTGGAGTATTCTGAGCAGCAACAAGAAAGATTCCACCTAGCAATGTGGAAAGTAAGAACTTATACTCAAGAGTTATCCTCTTACCTAAGTGTGCTGTGGTATACATGTACCTGTGCTCTCTTTCACATACCAATTATACATAGATATATGAAAAGGAAATTAAGTCTAAGTAAGAAAAAAAAATACAGCATACCCTGGGGTATGAAGGTCTGATCTGAGCTGGATGAGGAGCCACTGGGTAGTAACCCTCTACTTGTTGGTATCGTTCTCTGGACTCAGGTACATAGGATGGCACTGCTGCAGATGGAATGTCAATGGGTATAGGGCTTTCCCGGAACATCTCCTCTCTTGTATAAGACTGAGCAGGATATACACGGCGGCCATCGTAGTGAGGTGGGTACATAGGTGGGTACTGTTGTGGCTGTGTGCCATACTGAGAGTTTATGACACGATCTTGGAGGTAGGGTGAATAATGATCCAAGTATGGAGGACCAGGTTCAGGAGCAGATGGTGGAGGTCGGACAAAGCGGGACACACATGGTGGTGGAGTATAGTACATACCTGTACAATATAAAAGAAGAACCCAAAACAATAATGAGCTCATCTGTTTTTCTATATAAGCTTTTTTCCCTTTAACACATGAAAACACAGCGGGGAGATGGTAGCATACATCTTTAATCCTAACACTCGGGAGGCAGAGGCAGGCAGATATCAGAGTTTGAGGCGATCCTGGTCTACAGAATAGCCAGTTTACACACACACACACACACACACACACACACAAAACCAAAACTGAAACCATTAAAACACTTAAGTATTAATAATCTACTTATTTTTGATAAACTTTCACACTACTTGTATAGTTACAGTAGCTTTATGACAATTAGAAAGCAAATATTTTCCTTAGGGTCAGGAGCACAGCTCAGTGGTGGAGTGTTTGCCTGAATTGGCAAGGTCCTGAAATTCAATCCCAGGGAAAAACCTCTTTTTTCTTCCAAATAACAAATAATTATTGAAAATAAATGGAAAAGATCAATATACATATAGTCTAAAATAGTAGACTTTCTTCTAGTTTGTCTTAATACAATACAGTTACTGGAAATTAAAAATTAAATTTCACAAGAATCCTTGAAACTCAGGTTTACTTTAGTTTTAACTCTGTCGATTTTCATATCCAAGATTGCATGCATACTAGACAAGCACTCTACTACTGGGCAAGATTCTTAGCCCCTTTTTAAATAGTTCATTTTGAGATAGGGTCTTCTGAAGACTAGTATCCTGAACTCACTCTGTAGCCCAAGCATGCCTAGAACTTGAGATCCTCCTGCCTCAGGTTCCTCAGTAGTTGGCATTATAGACCTACTTCTCTAGGCCTTGCTACTATAGAGTTTCAACTTCAAAACTATGAGCTAGAAGATATGATATGCCAAAGATCCACTTTTCATAGCAATTATGATAATATCACAAGGTCCAGACGGGAAAAAGAATTCCAGCATAGAGGAGGGAAGGAGGACAAGCAATCCTACCACTAACTGAGGAACATCGCATTTGATAGCTGTTGGGAGAGGGAGAGTCAGTTTTTCTTACTGATGTGACCCCTTCTAGGCTGACCACTACCAGAGCAGGTCTCACTCCCAAGATTAGCTGGGCAACAAAAACTGGACTTGATGGAGAAAAAGAAACAACACTCAACCTCCAATTTGTGTAGAAAGGGATGGGAAGTGGTGAGGAGAGGGAGGCACTGACAGAAATGTGTTCAGGTACCCTGCATGACATGCTCAGCACTTGGCTGTGTACATCTAGGGGCTTCTCTGGCTCTAGAGTTCTTGAGACAAGAGCTCTAGCAATAAACTTTCCTGGAACCTCCAGTTAAGGTAGAAGATTTTTTATCTTTACTTTCTACAGCTAGCAAAGTAGTGCTTTTCTAGGACATGTTTTCTAAAGACTCAGTTGAAGTCTGCTTCCCTAGTACTTCCACCACATGGAACGAACCCACTTCTCTACTAAGTCTTTTTATGCTTAATATAGCTATAAAGATTTCTCTTTCTGTAACTGAACCCTTCCTGATAGAGTATAAAACTACACATTGGCTGCCTGAACAAAAATATATTTTTCCAAGAGATTAAAAAAATCAAGCCAGATTCTTTTATACCATTATCAGTCATGTTATATCAATCAAAATCTATTCTTATGTTAGATGCCTGCAATCTCAGCACTCAGGAGGGTGAGGCAGGAGGATCATCTTCATTCAAGGCCAGACTGAGATACAGTGAGTTCAAGGCAAGCCTGATTATATATATATATAATATATATATATAAATATAAAAATATCAAGCAAGTCTGTCTCAGAAAACAAAGTAACAACCAATAAGTAGCCTCTATTTCTGACAAGATTCAATACTTTAGTTTGAAATAAATATCAATATTCTCTTTAATATTTTGTCTTGTTTTATTTGATTGTAAGACAGAGTCTAACCAAGTAACCCTGGTTATCCTGGAACTATGTAGACCAGGCTGGCTTCTGCCTCTGACTCCTGAGTGCTGGAATCAGAGGCATGCACCAACACATACACTTTATTATTAAGCTGACTCTATACTACAGAACCTATAAACACTGGTTCTCAACCTTCCTAATGCTGCAACCCTTTAATACAGTTCCTCAAGTTGTGGTGACTTTCAACCATAACGTTATTTTTGTTGCTACTTCATAACTATTTAATTTGCTACTGTCACGAACTGCAATGTAAGTATTTTTGGAGACACAGCTTTGCTAAAGGGGTCACAACGAACAGGTTGAGAACCACTGCTCTGAAGACTTGTATGCAGTACCTTTTCAAATATATTAAAAGGCCAATATCAATAATTGAAAGGAAGGAAATCATTCTGTAAATCTAGTTTGCATCCACTTTTTTTTTCCATTCTTGAAAAAAAAAGTTTGGTCAGCTTTACTCAGTATACTTGCTCAGTAAATGTTAATCCCTTCTATAAAATTTATAAATTTTATCCTTTTTAATCTAAATAAATTTGAGTGACTAAAATACATGCATATACTTATTATACATCTTTAAGCAGGCAAAGAAATTTAGTTGATCATAAAAACCTCAGTTTTCCAAGTATTAAAAATACATTTTTTAAAAAAAAATCTAATAGAAGCCACTATGTAAATGATCACTCACAGCAGAATAAGGAAATGAGTAATATAAATGAAAGATTATTACCCTGCTGATAAGGTGCTGTCTCAAAAGCTGGGGCACTTCCTCGAGGATCCTGATAATAAACATCTGCTTGTTGTGCTGGATATAGCTGAGACCCTCGAGGTACCATCTGAATTGGTTTGGTGACAGGCATGGGAGGCAGATCTGTTGGTCCCCTTGGAGGTACAGGATGTGGATTCACAGGTAAGGCAGAGATACTCTTAGGGGCAGATTCCAGCCTAAGGGAGCAAAATTATACAAGACAAGTTTAAAGTCTCTAAAATATACTTTTAATACCCATTAAATGTTTCATATAAAAAGACTGCTAGTGAAACTGAAGGAGGGGCTGTCTGGAGATCATTTCACTTGGGTATCCATCCCATGTGCAGTCACCAAAGGTAGATGCTGAGGTGGAAATCAGGAAGTACATGCTGACAAGAGCCTGATATAGCTGTCTCCTCAGAGGTCTGCAAGAGTCTGACATATTCAGAGGCAGATGCTCACAGCTAACCATTGAACTGATCAAGGGGTTCCCAATGGAGGAGTTAGAGTGAAGACTGTAGGAGCTGAAAGGGTTTGCAGCCCCATGAGGAGAGCAACAATACCAACCAACCAGAGCTCCCAGGGTCTAAACCACCAGCCTGGGAGCACTTAGGGAGGGACCCATGGCTCCATCTGTATGTGTAAGGGTGGAGGGCCCTGTTGGGCATAGGTTGGAGAAGAGATCCTTGGTCTCATGAAGGCTGGACACCCCAGTGGGTGGGAATTTGAGGGTGGGGGGGGGTAGGTAGGGGCACATTTGCAGAGAAGCAGGAGGAGGGGTGAGGGGATAGGGGGTTCCTGGCCGGGGGGAGGGGGGCATAAGGGGATAACATGAAATGTAAAGAAAACATCCAATAAAAAAAAACTGCTAGTACTTCGAAAATTGATATATTTGAATGTAAATCTCTTATACAAATTTAAAGGAATTAATCTTCCTTAAAAAAAATAATCATCAGTGCAGGAAGAATAAGTAAAAGCCAATAAAATGAAAGCAAAAATTTTATTTTCTGGGCCAGGATGTAGCTCGTTGGTGGGTTCAACCCCTAGCAAAACATAGCTGGGCACGGTGCTGCTGGCCTGCCATTCCAGTACCTGGAGGTGCAGGGAGTAGGCTCAAATGTTCAAGGTTATCTCTGGATATGAAGTGAGTTAAAGGACAGACTTTGACTCAAAACAGAAGAACAAACAATAACACCAAGAAATCACTGGGGTTAGAACTAAACTCTTCTTTTCCCTCTACTCAGTTTACAAGGAAGAAACTTGAAGACGTACAGGTCAGGAGGGGACCCTGGAGCACTGCTGCTCAGATGGTCTAGCTTTACTGGTTTCAGAGAAGAATCAAAGCTGGGGTCTGTCCCACGTGGAATCAGCTGTGTCACTGTGCTCCCTGATGATACAATTCCATTTGGGAGTGCAGGAGGTTTTCTGCTTGACAAATCCACTGCACTTTCATCAGGAAGTATAGGTGCTGAAGGCAGGCCCACCTCATTAAGTTGACCCAAAGAGGCACTCAAGGGTCTTCTGGGAACCAGACGTTTGTTCATTTTACGAAATCTGTATGAAAAGCAAATGTTTCAACTACAAATACATCATGCAATTGGTAAGAATCAGTTAAAATTGTTAAAAAGTACTGGAACATTTTTTTTTTGTGTGTGTGTAGAAATAACTCATTTTGACATCTAGTTGATAAAATATAGCTTCCCATTTATAAGAACAATATAATGAAAACTAAAAAAAAAACTTAGAAAATGTACTAATTCATAAATATTTCGTAAGTGTTAAATTCAATTATTCTTTTTATATACTTTTTTTAAAGATTTACTTTATGTATGTGAGTACTCTGTTGCTGCTACTGTCTGCTACACCAAAAGAGGGCATCAGATCCCAATTCAGATGGTTGTGAGCTACCATGCAGTTGCTGGGAATTGAACTTGGATTTCTGGAAGAATAGCCAGTGCTCTTAACCACTGAGCCATCTCTCCATCAATAGCCCTTCTTATTGTATTTCTTAAAGCCAACAAATCATTCCCTATTCCAAAGTCTGTGTTTCATGGTTTTCATACTTACTTTTCCAGTTCTTCCTGTGAGTGTGCAAACGTACAGCTGGCCCCACGAGGGCATCCTCCCCTTTGCTTCATATCTCGACACATGTATGTTTTGTATTTGCTATGCTGTGGAGGCTAAAGCCAAGATCAAGACATTAGACATAAAACAAAACACACAATAACAAATGTAAATTTTATCTTTTCAGTTTCGCACTCTTACAGCACAGAAGAATTTAAGCTAATTCCCACATTTATCTAAACTACTCAGAGCAAAACTATTGAAGGGGGGAAATCAGAGTTCAAAATTAAATTGTGATTATTTATCATTAGTGTGGGGGAGTCAGAGGACAATTTTGTGGAGTTGGTTCTTTCCTTACACTTTTACCTAGGTTCTAGGTATTGAACATATGGTGCCTAGCTTGCATAAAGCTTCTGCCTACTGAGAGACTGTTCCAGCTCCAAAATTAAAATTTAAAAGTAGTTTTAATAGGGGATCAAGGTTAAGAGCACTGGCTGCTCTTCCAGAGGACGTGGGTTCAATTTCCAAGGTCCATATGGTGGCTCACAACCATCTGTTAACTCCAGTTCCAGGAAACAAAGACACCCTCTTCTGGCCTCCACAAGCACCAAGCACATGTATGTACAAAACACCCATACACAATGCATAGCTACACACTGTGTAGCTTTCAGACCACATCAGAGAAGTTTCTCAGTGTAGTGGGTGGGGGTTAACACAGAAACTCACAGCTAGTCACAGTGCAGGTAACTGTGGAATGCTCAGTTATAAAAGGACATCTCTGTCACATGTACACACACACTTTCACAAAGGCTTAGGGACCATCACGGATGAGAGGTCTGGCAGAAAGACTGTAGAAGCCAGAGGTCAGGGAGGACCAGAGCAAAACAGTGTCTTCTAGACATGACAAGACAGAACACTCATAAACTCTCAGCAGGAGTTCAATACCCTAGACTTTGATCTCTATGAGATGTTCTATCTGCCAAGTTCCTACATAACCAAAAATTCTTGAAAACCCTTAGCCTTGCAATTTTTGGGGCCAATATAAACTCCAAATAATAAAATTTCCTGTGTTTGATAACATTTTCTCAAACCCTGCTTTAGGAAGCTAGCCCTGTCAGATAGAAAATAATGCTTGCATAATTAGACCAAAGAATTTGGGTAATGGTCTTTATGCTCACTCAGTGGGATTACCAGTGAATTATGTAAGACCTTGTCTCTCACAAAATATAAAACCAAAAATGACTTTCAAAATGTATACTCTTCTAATATTTGGTTAGTGTTCATATAACATTAAGCTGGCTCCTAACAAAAACCACAACAATTTTGGGCCAAAAAGATGGTTCAGTGGGTGATGCTGCCAAGCCTCCAGGACCTTAAGACTGCCTGCCCTCTCACCTCCACACATTACACAAGTAAGTGGGAAACAATACTTTTTTAAAACTAGAAGATGATTTGGCACACTAGCATAATAAACATTATTAATGAAATTCTTTAAAATACTAACACAGAAAAAAAAATCTACACTTATTTGAAAAGTGCTAGTGATTCAGCATTGGTATCAAAAAGTGACATTATCAAACTGAAATGTAACATAAAATTACTTAAGAAAAATTAAAACACTAACTGCTAACCATGTTAACTTAGAGTTTCTATAGTCAGGATCTTTTTTTAAAGCAAAGCAATTAAAACTTTATTTTATATGAATGGGAGTTTTGCCTGCATGTATGTCTACACACTAGTGCATGCCTGGTACCCACAGAGGCCAGAAGAGGGCATCTAATTCCCCTGGAACTGGTGGAGTTAGAGGAGGTTGTGAACCACTATGTGGATGCTGGGACTTGAACTGGGTGATCTCTCAAAAAGCAGCTAGTTCTCTTAACCAAGGAGCTCTCTACAGCCCCTATAGTCAGAGACTTAAAATATTCCTATCATTATATTTTGCTTTGTAGCTGTACCTACAGTGGCCAGTTTGTAGGTATACCCAAGCTTGCTTTTCTGAAGATTTCAAATAGGAACCCCTTACCTGCTGTTGATCTGCTCCTTTTTTGCTGTGGTTCTGGATATAATCAACCAGTCCATGTACTACTGTACGTACAGCAACCAGTCCATTTTCTAGCTGTTCCCATGTTGGAGGAGGAGCATCTAGAAAATTAAAAATTAAACAAAACCTATACTCCTATGCAGTGTTCTATTCAATATTAAACTTATGTGATCAAGTTAATTGTTTTGCAGCTTTCAGACACTTGTTCATCTGTGATGATTAGTGGTGCCAACTTAAAAGGCCCTAGAATCAGCAGAGAGACGGGTCTCCGGCTATGCCTCTGGTGGATTATCTTGATCATGTTAACTTCTACAGAAACACCATCTTACCTGTGTCATTCATCCCTCCCTGTTTCCTGACTGTGGATGTGATATGTAAGCTGCTTCAAGCTCCCAATGCCTTGACTTCCCTGCCATAATAGACTGGACTGTGAGCTCAAACAACCCTTCTCTCTTAAACTGTGCCCCCCCACACACACAGACACACAGACACAGACACACACGCACGCACATTGTGGGGAGGTGAGTATGACAAGAACTGTGAATTCAGCTGATAGTGGAACCGGTAACCTTGAAAAACAGGTTTGGCTAGAAAGATGGAGACAAATGACTGATCAGAGTGAATTTGAGACAGTGGTATAGAACTGGAGACATCATCCAGGGGCAGAGTGTTTGTCAATAGTTTACTGTTATGTAAGGAGAGAATATACCAGCCAGCTGTAGGAGACACACTAATATGGTGGCAAGAACTGTAGCATTTCTTTTTTAATTGGTTACAATGCTAATTAACAAAAATGGGAAAAATAACTGCTACACACACACTCACACACACACGAATAAAAAAGATCTGATTTGATTAAGTCATTTTGGGACTCAATCTGTAAATATGGAGTGACGAAAATTTAAGAGGGTCTGAAAACCAGAGTCGTTCTATAAGCACATTACTAAAAAGGCATGTGTGGAGATATGATTGCAGCAGTAAGTAACCTGAAGTGACAGCATCAGTAGTAGAGAAAATTGAAAATATTAAGTCTCAAAGGAAAGGACTAAAGCTATCATTAAGGAATAAACAGGAAGTGTGGGTCACAGGAAATTATGAAAGAAAAACAGATAAATACCATGTCTTAAAAGGTATGGAGAACAAGTGAAAGAACATGTAAAAAAGACAAAAGAAACATAGCTAGAAGAGCAGGCATCAAAGATGAAGCTCACTTTGAAACAGACAGATGATGCAGAGTATCAGGAAGCACCGGGAAAATGGGTCTGCAGTGACACGAGCAGTGACAGAGCTCTTGGGGAATCTACTTTATACAGAGGTAACTCTTGAGGCTAAGGATCCAAGGAAACCATTCCAAGGACACAGACAGCACTGCTGTGAATGGAGTGGGGTGGAATGATGCAAATAAAAACAAAGCAGAAGTTTTGATGTATCAAAGAAGAGGCATCTGGTATTAGTAACTGCTGGAAACGCACAACATAGTTTAAGGACTCAGAAGTCATGTCTGGAAGGAGTGACTAGGAAACTATAGTAAGCAGTATGTAGATTCAGCTCCATAGTAGGAGTGGACTCTGAGAGGCTAGCAGCTGAAATACTGTTCAAGTAACAGGTCATTAGGTATATTTTCAGGTCAAGAAGGGGTGAGAAACAAATGCCCGAGTAAAGGCTAAGAAAGAGAATAATGAGCAGAACAAGGTATTATGAGAAGATGGGATAATGGAAACACAGCCAAAGAAAAGCTGAGAAAGCTACTTTGGGAAACTTTAGAGGAACATAACAAAAGATAACTGAAAAACCAAGCAAGTACTGAGGGACACATAAACGGTCCACTAACTTCACTTAGCTTTACCTGGACTAGGGTCAATGTTTGCTAGTAGCTCCAAATGGGGTCTTAGTCGGTTCAAATTCGCTGGGTCTCCAGTCCGCTGGAGAGCAATTGTTAGCTCCTGAACACTCTGTGCAAAAGAGGCAGGGGTCTGCAACTTAAAAGAAAAAAAATCAACATTAATCTTCCAAAAGATCAGATAAAACCTTTAAAGCACAGTTTATTTACACTTTTCATTTTTACAGTTTATTAAATTTACTTTGTATCTATCTACCTAACCTATGCTGAGGCCAGACTGAAACACCTGATACCTAAAGATCTTTCTTCCTATCCACAGCTTGGTACATTGTGTACAATACTATGTTCCCTCTGTTATGATACTCTTCAAATAGGAGGCCTTTCTCCCCATATCACTATATTAGTTGGGTTCTTGGTAGTCTTTCCATATACCTGAAATTTAGAATTATAATAATCTAGAGATAATGTCAAAAAATAGTAAGAATAATGCCACTAAATAGTCATACTGAATGAGTTCAAGTTCTTAAGACCAAATATCATAACACTAAATATATATATACTGTACAAACTAAATTTCATATATTAAATAGTCTAAATAATTTCAAATGTTTAGTACAGTTGAAAAAAAGTCCTGTTATGATTTGATTGCAGGACATAGAGAGATCAAACTAGAAAAGACGTGGAACCTTCTTCCCTCTTGGCTAGCTTTCATGGTGCTATATGGCTCTATGCAGGGTGCTGGGGGAGATAAGTCAACAGTGGTCTCACTCAATAGCTAACCTGCCCAGGCAAGAGGTGGCCATCAATGTAATGTGGCATGAAGGTTACTGGGATAACCAAAAAGCTTTTTAAACTGGACTATAGGCTGTTCTATATCTGGTATTCACATCTGGCATTTTAAACCTGTTAAAAGCCAATGACCAAGGAGGTCACAGGCCCTACAGTGAACCTACTTGTTTTGTTAGATGGACATGTCATCAAACTGCCTTATTCTTTTTGTTTATCCCTATAGATCAATGCTTTTTTCAACCTTGCTTGGAGATATTTCTTTCTGCATGGATAGCAGTTAGTTTAGAGACTCATAACTGGTCAACGTTCTGAGAATAAATGACTGTTGAATATTTACCTAAATAGGACATCTTTATCATACCAACAGTACCACCACCAAAGAATACAAAGAAGAGGTATAAAGAATATAAAAGCTGGAGAATGGGAAGAAGTGCTGGGAAATTTCTTCTAGACGTGACACAGTTGTCCTCCTGGACTCACAGCAGCTATGGTTACCTTCACAAGATCAAGCCAGTCATCATTCCAGCTTATGAGAGACAAACTATGAGGCGCCACCCCTAGCTGAGAAGTTACTGGCAGTTGACGGCTGCCAGAGAAGGGTTATTTTTCTTTAGTGATGCATGTGGCCCTGGTACCATGTTCCAGTGGAGGACCCCATGCTCATGTGCATGCTGATATCACTAATTGTACTTGGAGGACTATTGTGAAAAATAAAAAGAGATTATGAAGATAGAAAGAATGTATCATTCTGAGTAGAGGGTAGAAAAAAATGAGAAAGGGCAGCTGGAATAAATATGATCAAGATGAACTTGTCAAAGAATAAATATTTTTAAAATATTCTGATTTAGTTTGGGATTCTTGAAGGTTGACTATTTCTCTAAAACATAATGAGAACTGCAGATGGAGACCAGGAAAGAGGACAACATTTGAAATGTAAATAAATAAAATAACCAATAAAAAAAACCCAAAACAAAACAACAATAACAAAAAAACTAATGAGACATACACTCACACAATAAAAAGCTCATTCTAATAAATCCTCTTATATTTATTCATTCTATAAGTTCTGTTATTCTAGAGAACTGTGACTAATATGAAGGTATTCAAGGAAGAGTTACCAACAGTAAAAAGCAGAATATAAAATAAAACTAATTGATAACTCTCAATCAATATATCAGTTACTCAAAAACTGTCATGTTTTGGGGTATCTACTGTAGTGGTCTTTACATTTAAACAGACAGTTCCAGAAAGTACAAAGCCCTCTGGATTCTTTGGGCAATAAAGGAAGAAAGGTGGATGACAAGGACTTTGGGAGAGTGCTGGTTGAAGCACTGTACACTATTGTCATTCTGATAGGACTAGCTATGACATAATAATATCTGGACACACCAAATCTCATTTATAGAGGCCTGAAATATACTATTTACAATAGTATTCATTTGTTAAATAAAATAATTACAGAATAATAATTATCAAGACTCCAAAATTATTTATGAAGTAAGGGACAATAAAGACACTACCTTGTCAATAATAGACTGCATATGAGATTTGTGAGACTGGTCCCCATAAAGCAGAGAGGACCACTGGTCTGGTGCAATCCTTAAGCCAGCTTCCATAGCAATCTGCACTATCTGGGAGTCATGTTCTCGCCTCAGAGCTTCGTAAGTCCTAAATTCTTCTTTCAGCTGCATCAAAGAAGAGTCTTCATCACGTTTGGTGACCTAAAAAGACATATACACACAAAATCTAATAACAGACAAAAGCCTCAACTTTATATAAACACATATAGACAAAAAAAAATGTGATTTTTAAAAAACTCCAATTTACTTTGTGTGTCTTGGTTTGATGTGTACCATATGTGGCAGGTGTACACAGAGGAAACTCCCAGGAACCAGTTCTCTTCTTTCATCACGTGGGTTCCAAGACCCACATTGAGCCATCTTACCAGCCCGGGGAGGGTGGGGGAGGGGAATCAAAATAATACCTTTTTTTTTTGAGCAGCAGATAACCAGATAAAAATGGAATATACCATCCTGCCTGCAAAACATCTCCCATTATAGATGTCAAAATTTTGCATTTTTTAAAGACCGGGCTCTCACTACATAGCTCTTGCTGGCCTGGAACTCAGAGATATGCCTGCTTCTGCTGCCCCCCCCCCCCCCCCGGCCCCCGCCCGCAGATGATGGAGTTAAAGGTATGCAACATCATCATACCCAGCCATAAATGTCAGAATCTTCTTAAAGAAAGAATGAACGTGTGGGTAAAAAGTTCACAGTACAGAATTTAACAGATTCATGTGTATATACAGGCATTTTTAAAATTAAGAAAATATTTAATGAGTATAATTCTTTTAAAAAACAGTATATGTTTCTTCTTTATAAATGTAGATCACAAGTCTAAGGCTTGCCTAGCATTAAGTTATCCAACACTAATAAATAAAGAGCTTCCAATATGACTAACTGAATTTATCTTAATTTTTCCATGGAGTATTGTGGAACAGGCCATAGCCAAAAAGTATAGAGCATGAAATGCTGGTCTGTAATAATAATATCTTTTAATAATAAAACTCACACCTGGATGTGGTAGTACTTACTTGCAATCTCAATATTCAGGGGGTAGAAGCAGGAACATCAGAAATTCAAGGCCAGCCTTATGTATCTAACAAGTTCAAGATCAGGGAGGGCTACAAAACTGTTTCAAATACAAATAACAAAATCAACACTGTTTTTTAATAAAACCCACTTTTTAAAAACAAATGCACAGCAGGGAGGGAAATGGAGAGATGGCTCAGATGGTAAAGCACGTGCTGTATAAGCACGAGGACCTACATGAGTCCGTCACCTCCAGGACCAACTAAATGGGGGCAGGGAAGCAAGGTATGACTTTAGTCCCGTGTCTCCAAAGAGCACTGAAGAGGCATAGACACAACTGAGTAATCCTGTACTCAGCTACCAGAGTCAGTAAGCTCTAAGGTTCAGTGTGACCCCCAACAAAAATTAAAATAGAGTGCAACCAGGGAAGATACTTGATGCTGACTCCAGCTCCTGTGTATAGCTCCATGCCACACACATACTTAAAAAAAGAAAAAAAAAACTTACCTTTATTTAACACTTGTTATGTGTAGTTACCTAACTAAACCTAATGGTTTATATTATCATATTACTATATTAACTCACTTTAATTTTTGTAGCACATCTGATGTATGTGTTATTGTTATCTCAGTAACTTATACTTTGAGTCATGGCTAAGGGTTTAAAATTTTAAAATAATTCTCACCTAGACTCACAAACTTCCTAGGACATTTTAAAACATATTTGGAGGTTGGAGTTGTAGGTCATGGCAGAGTGGTTCATTCCCCATACTGCTAAAAACACAATTGTATTGTGTTAACCTTTTATTCCCATAAGGACCTATATCATTATAGTAGAAAAATGTTCCCTTTTAACTTTCTACCTAAAAACACCTCATACTTCTATAGTCAGAAATTATAGATCACACTTAAAAATTTTTAATTTTATTTTTTCTAGAACAACACTGGATTTTATTAAGCAAGAAGTACACAATCTCAGAGAAAGATCAAGTATGGCTATAAAAAAAAAGCTATCATTTCATCCTTATAACAAAATAAGGCCCAACTAAACCTTTCATTAGGAAATCAGATGAACAAACACAAATAAACATGTATATGTATGAAAATACTTCCTCAACATAGGCTAGTCCTCTTTAAAAGGTAGAATATGCTTTCTACATTGGCTCCCTCAATATTGTATTATTTTGAGTTGTAGTTGCTGTGGATTGAACCCAGAGCTTTGGACACATTATAAGCACTCTATCACTGAGCAATATCCCCAAAACCTTCATTACTCTAAAAACAACCAAGAAATTTTAAGAACTATCACATCAAAAATCCTGGAACTGTAGTGTATTGAGAGATGTCAAACAGGTCAGCCAGATGGCTCAGCAGGTAAAGGCACATGCTGCATAAGCCTGACAACCAAAACTCAATCCCCAGAACCCACAGAAAAGTGCAAGGAGAAAACCAAGTCCACAAAATTGTATTGTATCTGCTATGGATAACACACATATATACACACACACACACACACACACAGAGAGAGAGGGGGGGAGAGGGAGGAGGGGGCTTGGTTAGAGGCTTGAGAGATGGCTCAGAGGTTAAGAACAGTTGCCAGTCTTTTAGAGAACCCAGGTTAGGTTCCCACCATCCTTTTCAGGTGGCTTATAAACACCTGTAACCAGCTTCAGAGAATATGACACACACACACGGCATATACTCACATATATAAAGTAATAACTAAACAAAATGGCTAGTGAATGACTTAAATTACTCAGAATTTAAATTTTTTCTAGAGCTATCAATACGGATCAGTGGGTAAAGTTATCTGTTGCCAAACCTGATGACTCAAGTTCAATTCCTGGGATCTATATGGTGAAAGGAGAGAACCAACACCCACAAGTTGTCCCCTTACCTCCATATGTACATAGTGACACATGCATACCCATCTACCACTGATTCCCCACACTATACAAAATAAATCAAATTTTAAAAAATGAAAATTTATTATAAAATAAATTTAGTAAAAAACTTGTATACCTAGACACTGTGGCATACAACCATAACTGAGGTAGAATGACTGTTATCTAGGCCAGTCAAACTACATAGTGAGTCTGTCTCAACAACAGCAACAACAAAGTTACATTTCAAAACTTGCTTATGCTTTATTGGTTGTCTGTGATACTAAGAACTCACTCAGGGCATCACACACTAGGAAAGGACTCTACCTAAGCTTCTTATAATTTGTATTTGTTTCTGTTAGTAGAGAACATATAACATGGAAAGCATGCAGACATTCTGAAATATATTCTAAATTATATTCAGTGAAGAATTATTTTATTCTTTCTAACCATTACAATAAATGTGAAATACTATATTTAGAAAAACTCAGAACTGAAGGGAGTAATTTTGGTTGTAAGTCAATACAAAAAACTGAAATCCCTTTTCAGTACACCATCAGTTGAAGAATTATAGTGATTTTAGGAATGGAAGTATTAGTTACAACATATATCAGAAGAAAGAAAATTTTTTTTTTAAGAAGACAGGAAAATAAAGCAGAATGAGCAGTAAGTGATGCCTGATGGGTATCAATGTTCGAGGCAGTTCATGTTCAAGCTGGAGTATGAGAGAATGTGTCCAGCACTATCACCTACATTGAAGCCAGATGGTGAATTGGTATCTCGGTCTATACAAGTACAAAAGGAACAAACTCTCAAAAACCTTATCACTGCTTCGGGGACTCTGGACTAATTTTGTCTACAGTCTTGGAAGGTACATTGGCTAGTTCTGTGTGAAAATGCTTCCACTAGACTGGTGTGTAAGCAAGCCTGTGGTGCATTCTCTTGATCAATAACTGATGTGGGAGGGCCCAGCACAGCCCATTGTGGGCGGTGTCACCCCTGGGCTGGTGATCACGGTGCTAAGACAGCAGGCCGCAGCACTTTTGTATGGAGTGCTTCAATTTCTTTTTTTTCTTTGTCTTTTTTTTATTTATTTACACTCCAGATTTTACTCCCCAGCCCCCATCAACCCTCTGACTGTTCCACATCCCATACCTCCTCCCCACACTCCTGTCTCCCGAGGATGTCCTACTCCTTAGTCCCTATCCAACCAGACCTTTAAACTCCCTGGGGCCTTCAGTCTCTTGAGGGTTAGATGCATCTTCTCTGACTGAACCCAGACTCAGCAGTCCTCTGCTGTATGTGTTGGGGGCCTCATATCAGCTGGTGTACACTGCCTGGTTGGTGGTCCAGTGTCTGAGAGATCTCGGGGATTCAGGTTAATTGAGACTGCTGGTCCTCCTACAGGGTCACCCTCCTCCTCAGCCTTTCCCAACTTCAACCACAGGGGTCAGTAGCTTCTGTCCATTGGTTGAGTGGTCAATTCTTGTCTTGAATTCCGCCAATGACGGATTGTGGCGTGGAAGTGCATGCAAAATAAACTCTTTCTTCTCTAAACAGCTTTGGTCATGGTGTTTCATCATAGTAATAGAAACCCTAACTAAGTAGAAATCCTAACTAAAACAGAGGGAATAACAAGATGATTAATCTCTTCATATAAATTTAAGGGGTGAGACTGTATTTCAGCAATATAGTACTTGACTAACATGTGCAAGGCTCTGGGTTCAATCCCTACCAGTGCAAACAGACAGGCCAAAACCAAAACCCAACAAACCAAACCCAGATTTAACTAGAGCATTATACTATCTGCCTTCTTTAAGAAAGAAAAAAATGGTGCTATTTTCTGAAAAGTACAGGCAATTTTATTAATGTCCAAGTTTAATATTTAAGTTTGGAGACACGGCAATGTTTCAAGCTGAACTAGAGTTTAGGTTCATACCTTGAAGCAGGAGGCTCTGTAGAGGAGCTGAACAACATGTCCAATGCTGGTTTTAGAGGCTTGAGGAAAACGTGGCTCCAGTCTTTGCACCACAAAGAGAACCAACACTTTCCGTGACAATGCAGAACCATCTTCCAAGGCCAGCAAGACCAGCTTCAGAGCTTCCTCCTGCATTGCTAGGAAAAATAGCATAATCAAGATGTATTGTGAGCAAAGATGACCTAAATCCATTATCTGAAAAGCAACATAATACCATGCCATTAACAAGTAAAACAATGAGCCAGGCATGGTAGTGCACATCTTTAATCCCAGCACTCTGTACTAGAGGTCAACCTGATGAGTTCCAGGATAGCCAGAGCTACACAACAAAACCCTGTCTCAAAAACAGAAGACAGACAGACAAACCAAAACCAAACCACCACCAAAACCTCCAAACAATATATTTACATATATTTATACATATATATATATATATTTACATATATACACATATATTTACAACTATATTTGAAAGCCACATTTGTGGGCAATTCTGTCATATTAAGTAGTGAGTGATTAATATAGAGAAAAACATTTTTAATGACTAATAAAATGAGAAAAGTCTATGAATTCTCTGAAAAAGTATCAAGCCAGGATTGTCAAGTAGAACAATGCTTGAAACAGAATTTAAATTTAACAAAAGATGAGGGTTTGTACATTTCTTAAGGCTTTTTACTCTATACTTTTAGAATACCTACTAAGGATAAGTAAGCAGACAAAGCAACAAACAAACTTCAGTTACATACCTGGTCCAAGGAACTGGCAGCCCCTAGCTCTGACTGCTGCCCAGAGATTAGAAGAGAGTTGCTGAGGATTCTGATGCTGGAGAATGAGCTCCGTAACTGTGCGTTCACCTAAAGATCTAGCAGCCCTCATAGCACGGATCCTGCCTTCTTCTTCCACTAGCTGGCAATGGACCAGAGTCACAAGTTTCCTCTGCATTGGGCGACTCAGAACACTCTGAGTAGTGCTATTCAGACCCACTCCTGGAGAGGAGAACAAGGAAGCTATTTCTAGGTTTACACTGCAATTTTATAATCCAGGAGCACTTCCTCTGGAGTGGCTCATTTGTGGGCTAGCTCTCAGTCTCATTAGAACATTTAAAGTAAACAATAAACCAACAGTCTGGACATCCACACCTTTAATCCTAGCACTTGAGAGGCAAGGGTAGCTAGACCTCTGAGAGGCCAGCCTGGTCTACAGAATGAGCTCCAGAGCAGCCAGAGCAACACAGAGAAACCTTGTCTCAAAATACCAAACAAACAAGTAATTAAGTAAATAAAACCATACAACAATAACATTTAAAAAGTAAAGCAAATGTATGTAGATAAATATCACTCATTATGGCATTCAAAACACTATTATTCATTTTAATCATAGAAGAAAAAACTGACAGAAAACAGCAATTAATCCAAGACCCAAATATTGATGTTCTAATAGTTCCGGTATATTATTACTGGTATATCTTACTAATAGTTAACAGTAGGCCCTTTCTGGAAGGTAACAACTTCCATTTTCTTACCATTTTCCACAAATACAACCTAAAACTAGACAAAGATTCGAAGTTTGTCAAGTGATAACTGGGGATAGAGCTGCTAGAATGCCCAACCCTGGAGTTCACTCGCAGCACCCCCAAATAAGTAACCTTAGCCCTTGGGAAGGAGACAGGATGATCAAAAGTCCAAAGCTATCCTTGGTCACAAAGCAACTTTAAAGCCAACCTGGGCTAAATGAGACCCTGTCTTCAAAGGAAAAAAAAACAAAAACACCACAAAAAACAAAGCTGTCAAAAACTTGAAAAGCCCTTCTAAATCATGTTGTATGCATTTCTATAGCCACTCATATTTCCAACATCATGCAAACTCTAGAGTTAGTACTACTTTATATGATGTGGGTTATATTATCTAGCATGAAGTAGGCTTGGCTTATAATGGATAAATTTTATTGGCATTCACTAGGGCTAGCTGTATATACAGTTCAGTAGTAGAACACTTGTCTAGCACTGATATCTAAGTAGGGGAAAAAGTGGAAATGGAAGAGAGGCGGGAGCGAGAAAGGGAAGAAACAGAGAAAAAAAAAGGTTTCTTTTTCTTTTTTAAAAGGTTTATTTATTTTTATCTCTATGAGTACACTGTAGCTGTCTTCAGACACACACTAGAAGAATGCATCAGATCCCATTACAGATGGTTGTGAGCAACCATGTGGTTGCTGGGAATTGAACTCAGGATCTCTGGAAGAGCAGTCAGTGCTCTTAACCACTGATCCAGCTCTCCAGCCCAAGAAAAGGTTTCATACATTTGTATTCATTTGTAGCTCAATTATTGTGGTAATAAAAGTATTTGAGCTGGGTGATGGTGGCACACACCTTTAATCCCAGCACTTGGGAGGCAGAGGCAGGTGGATTTCTGAGTTCGAGGCCAGCCTGGTCTACAGAGTGAGTTCCAGGACAACCAGAGCTATACAGAGAAACCCTGTCTCAAAAAAACAAACAAACAAAAAAAAGTATTCGTAACAGATAATTTGGCCAAGTATGATAGGGCATACCTTTAATCCTGGCACTTGAAAGAGGAGGCAGGTAGATCTCTGTGAATGTGGCCAGCCTGGACTACATAGAGTTCTGGGTCAACCAGGGCTACATAGTGAAACTCTGTCTCAAAAAACAAACAAATGAACAGTTGTTTGTTTAGCATGGTTTTATAATTACATACCTCTCGCACTGCTGAGTGGTTTCAGGTACAATGCTAATTCTTCTACACATTTCTTGGCTTCCTCATAATGCTTTGTATCTTCAACCCCACTACACAAAGTAATGGGCTGTTGCTCAGGGATCTGGAGATCAAAAGAAAAGTTTTGAATGTTCCATTAAATTATATTAAATGTTTTACTGACTACAATTTATCCACTGATAGTCCGGGTGCTCACAACATTAAAACCACTAAATTTGCTAAGTGCTTTCAAACTTTCACTTGCATATATATGCATGTATATATATTCCATTATTATTTCCATAAAAGCCTTACTAAAAGATTCAAATACTATATATTAACTGAATTGCATATACAACTCAATGATCTATAGTATTAGTAAATTTACAGTTGAATAACTATAGCAACAAAACTGAAAATTTTCCTCACCCTCAAAAGAACCTCATACCTTTATTGCCCTGAGACAGGGTCTCAACTATGCAGCCCTGGCTGACCTGGAATTACTATGTAGACCAAGCTGGCTGTTTGAAGTATAGGGATTAAAAGTATGATATATACCCATACTTTCTTCTTTCTTTTTGGTAGATATGTACAGAAACTAGAGGAAAACCTCAGTGGTTATTTCTCATATACCTAGAAACAGGGTTTTTCACTGGCCTAAAACTTGCCTAGCCTAGGATTCTGGGTATCTCAGGGATCTCCAGCCTTGACATTACAAGTGTGCCAACATACATCTTTTTTGTAATATTTAATATGAATTGGTGTTTTGCCTGTATATACACCTGTGTACCACATGTGCAAGTTACAGGAGGCTGTGAGCTGCCATGTGGGTGCTGGGACTCAAACCTGGGTCCTCTGGGAGATCAGTCAGTGCTTTGACTCACTGTGGGGTCATATCTCTAACTTCCACACTCACTTCTATCTGGATTCTGGGAATTAAAGATTCCATGCTTGTAAGGAAAATGCTTGATCAGTTGAGCTATTCCCTCAGTCCTCAATATTTAATTTATTTTATTGCTAATTATGATTTCATTATCTGAATATAACTTACCTGTACTTACATAATCTCTGTAACAGGTAACCTGCTTACATACCATTTAATATACTTATCACTTATCACCGACTTTTTGGTTTTGAGGCAGGATCTAAACAACTCGTGAATTTACAAGGATTCTTGAGCCTCAGCCTCTCATGTGCTTGAATTACAGGAGTATGCCACCATGCCTTGCTTTTTCTTCCTTAAAGAACCATGGCACTGGATAGAAAGTAGTGCCTCAATGAAGATTTTTTTTTTCAAAATTAATGAAATGTTTTAGTGTTGGCCATAAATGTTTATTAAGTACAATGTGATTCCCTGATGATATAAACTTGTAATTTGCAATAATTAAACTAGGTTAATTAAGAAAATTATCATTTCAGATACTTTGTGGTGAAAATATTTAAAATATCTTTCTCTTATATTCTCTTTCAGTGGTGGCATATAGCTTTAATCCCAGCACCCTTAGGAGGCAGAGGTAGGCAGACATTAGAGTTCAAGGCCAGCCTAGTCTATATAGCAAGTTCCAGGGCTACATAGACCTTATCTCAAAATACACACAAAAAATCTGTTTACTCTTCCCTCAACTTCCCCTTTTCCTCCATTTGCTCCTGCCTGCCACCTCACTGTGGTTTACATTTGAATTTCCCAGAGGACTAAGGTTGTTCTGTCATAAATTCACATTGTGCTAGGACTAAACACATGTGTTACCATGGCTGGTAGGCTCAAACAATAGTTTAAAAAAAAATAGTAGCTATAGAATTGTGGCAACAGCCAGAAGTATATGAAGAAGAAACCAAATTTTAGGCTAGCCATGAGTGGAATTAGAGAAGACAGTCATGTTTCATTGAAAGGTTTTCTCGCCAGGTGGTGGTGGCGGCGCATGCCTTTAATCCCAGCACTTGGGAGGCAGAGGCAGGCGGATTTCTGAGTTTGAGGCCAGCCTGGTCTACAGAGTGAGTTCCAGGACAGCCAGGGCTTCACAGAGAAACCCTGTCTCAAAAAAACAAAAAAACAAAACAAGAAAGAAAGAAAGAAAGAAAGAAAGAAAGAAAGAAAGAAAGAAAGAAAGAAAGAAAGAAAGAAAGAAAGAAAGAAAGGAAGGTAGGTTTTCTCTGTTCTATCTTTGGAATTTTGCTGTGCTTCTGCCCTTGGTGGCAAAGGCTTCCTGCACCCATTCTGGGCTTTCCTGTGTGGATCAGAGGCCTAGTCCAGCTGAGACTAGGAGCCACATATTATTTCACACCTGCAGCTCACTCAACCATGATCCTAAAGAACCAAAGGCTCAGCATTTTCAACTTTATGTCACACAAAAAATATTTTCTAGTACTTAAACAGCTCCTCGTTAGACTTGTGATTATCTAGTCCAGAACTTTTACATTTTGTGTTAATAGTAATTTCTCAATATCTTGTACATTTACATTATTTAATTTGCTACTTTCTATCTGGTTCAGAGTCAATGCAAAGAATTTATTCTGTTCTTATCCACTTAATATACACCCTCCCCAATCCCATCTTTTGAAAGACTGACTGCTAAAGAATAAAAATTTAACAGCTAATACTAAGCATGTAAACTGCGTGCAGGAGGCTGGGGGGAGGGGTTACTGCACACCCTCTTCTAGAATCTGTAGGCACTTACATATGTTTAAATTTTTAAAGAGCCATCTCTCCAACACAGATTGATTTATTTTTTGATCTGTATGAGTGTTTTGCCTCCATGCATGGAAGTATACTATAAGCATGTCTAGTGTCCAAAGAGGCCAGACACTGGTGTTGGATCTCCAGGAAATACAGTTGCAGAAAATTTTGAGTGACTTACATGAGTGCTCAGAACTGAATCTGGGTCCTCTGCAGGAGTAGCAAGTTCTCTTAACCATCAAGCCATCTCTCTAGCCCTGTTTAACTAATAAGTGTGTGGTATATAAGAAATGTTTGAACTGGGCAGTGGTGCCACACACCTTTAATCCCAGCAGTTGGGAGGCAACGGCAGTAGGATCTCTGAGTTTGAGGTCAGCTTGGTCTACAGAGCGAGTTCCAGGACAGTCAAGACTATGCAGAGAAACACTGCCTCAAAACAATATCCTACCCTATTCCCCCAAAAAGGAAAAAAGAAATGTTTTAAGACAGGCTAAGTGTAGATGCACTTAATCCTTTGACAACCCAACCTAAAATCTTACAGATAGCATACAGGATAAATAGGTTAAAATCACTGGTAAAATAGAATGCAGAATATTCAAACTGAGGTATGCAGTTGGTAAAAGCAAAGCTGAAACACTTGATATTGTAGGCAATACCAAAGCTAAGTATCTTGGATTAAACTGTATGTAATTTAAACTTTTAAAGCCAAACAAGCATTACACACAGAAATGAACAAGTTAATTTTTTAAAGACTTAAATTTTGTTTCTCCTTATGTGTATGTGACTACATATGAGTATGCATGCCAGATGAGGGCATTGGAACCCTTGTAGCAGGAGTTACTGGTGACTGAAAAGAGCTGCCTGTTGTAGGAGCTGGGAAATCAGTTTGGCAGCAAGCACTCTTAATTACTAAACTATTTCTCCAGTCCCTAATTTGTAAAATTTAACTGATTGCCTGTAAACCTTTGTTTTTCAAGAAGCTTGTGTGTGTGTTGTGTGTGGTACCAAGTAGGAGAAAGGAATTTAATAATTTAAGGATTAGGAATTCTTTTGTGCCACTAGAGGGAGCTTGAACATAGAACTAGAACAGCCAATAGAACCTCGATCTGTCATCCAAATTAGTATTTTGTAAGGAAAACCTGTGTTTTCAGAGCCAAAGGTAAACTCAGGATTTGAGTTACAACATTTACACCCTGAAAGATATTTTTAGAAAAGGTTGAAGCCTAGGAAATGTTGTCCTCAACTACAATGCTCTGTGGGAGGACTTTCTAATGAAAACATATTATCAGTATGAACTTAAGATATTTTGGTATAAAAGATTAAGTGGCTTTGGTGGGAAAGATATCATTTTGTCTATGTGTTTCTTGCTAAGTGCCGCCTTGAGGTGACACTGTGAGTTCCTCTTGATTCTTCCCATTTCCTGGACACATATTAACATTTCCTTGAATATCCAGTCACGTGTGTGTTAATTTACAGAAATTACTGGTATGCTAGACTATCACTGGAATTTTTAGTTTTGTTTGTTTCTGAGATAAAGTTTCACTATGCAGTTCTGGTTGTTTTTGGAACTATGCAGACCATGCTGGCCTCAAACATACAGACTCTGCCTCTCAAATTGTCATTGGCTATTAAAATTGATTTAAGGGATGGGATGATTTAGTTGATTATTTTCTTTGTATGCACAAAGACACGGATTTAATCCTTAGTACCACATAAAGCAGGTAGGATAGCACATGCCTATAACCAAGAGGAGTTCAAGGGCATCCTCAGTTACATAGTGAGTTTGAGACTGGCTTGGGATACATAAGATCCTGTTTTAAGAAAAAAAAATCTTTGTTTTTGCAGTGTATTTGTGGGGATTTAGGGAGCTTCTGTAAATGTATAACTCTGTGGTATAGACTACACAGTGAATCAGTTCTGATGGTTAGGCTATTTTTAACTTGTTGCTTTTATAGACTGTAGTGACATTCCTCTGCAGGTCTCCCTTGTATGTATGTGTTAAAATCATCTGGTTTGATAACCTGTGAGTACAGCTGCTATATTTACACGGTTGTGTGCACTTTCCATTTTATATTTTCCAGAGCCTGACAGTCTGCACTTTCCCTAGCACATGCAAGAGCCCTGCATTTCCACCTGGGACCACCACCATTCAGACACTGGTTTGTGGGAAGAGCTAAAAAAAAAAAAAAAACAAGCAAACAAAAAACAAAACCAAAACCAAACCTTGCTGTTATCTAAATCTGTATTTTCCTGATTAGCAATAAGATTAATCACAAAACCAATCAAACAAATAAGTACAACAAAAGCAGTTTTATAGAAGCACTTTAAATTTACAGAAAAGTGGCAAAGACAATTCAGAGAATTCCTATCACCCCACACCTCATTCTCATCATAATGTTCTCTTAATAGGATACATTTACTGGTATTAATATTCCAAAATGACTATAATGATAATTTAGGTCATTATAGCTAAAAATTCTGAATTTACTCAAAATGCCTTACTTTTACCTAACAGCCTTCCTGTGTTCCAGAATCTCATCCAGAATACTTGATTTATGTATCCCTTTTTGTGAGGTTCTTCCTGTGTTCTGATGATTGGCAGTTTTAAGGAGTACTGGGGATGTGTGTTGTATACTGACTTTGGACAGAATCTCATCTTTCTCACAAGAAGACTGGAGTTAGATAACTTTGGGAGTAAATACAGAGAAAAAAAATGCCCTTTTCATCATAGCATGCCAAAGATTCACTATCAATATGACTTATTTCTGTTCACATTAATCCAGTTCACCTGGCTGAGACAGCATTTGCTGGATTTCTCTAACATAAATATGTGTATTTGGTGTAGGCTATCCATCAAAACCATACTTCAATCATAGGAATGAACACATGTGGTACTTAAATGAACAAGTGATGAAGCCAGAGATTATATATTTTTCCAGATATCACTTTCAGTGATAAAATTCAAAGACATAATCTGAGAAGGGCCATCAAGATGGCCCAAAGGGTAAAAGTGCTTCTTCTCATCTTCCTTCTCCTCCTCCTCTTCTTCCTTCTTTCTTCTTCATCATCATCTCTTACCATGTTTTATTTCCTGTTTCCTCCCCCCTCCTTTCTTTAAACATCACTGAACTTGTGAACATGCTATGTAGCCCCTTTAAGAGTTTCTGTAGTTATATCAAAATGGTGGTTACATGGGCATCCACTTTCTAAATACATTAAGATATATTTAATAACTTCTTAAAGGGTTAGGGAGATGGGTCACCAGTTAAGAGCACTTGCTGCTCTTCTGGAAGACACAAATTCAATTTCCCTGCACTCACATCAGGTAGCTCACAACTGCTTGTAACTCTTATCTTCAGGGGATCCAATACCCTCTTCTGGCTTCCAAAGATATCTGGACACATGGGGCACACTGTTTCGTTTAAATAAAAAAAAAAAAAAAAAAAAAAGCCCTTGTTTCTTTTCTCTTTTCGAAACAAGGTCTCACTATTGTGACATTGCTGGCCTCTGAACTGAAGAGATTTGCCTGCCTGTCTTCTACCCAGTACTATTAATAAAGGCACACACTACGACATCTAGTGAAAATAAAACCTTTTAAAAGCCAAAAAAGGAAAAATCAGTAAGTAACGACTCCCTTCAGAGAAAACAGTGCTTTTCACCTTTCTTTCCTTCTCTATATACTATGCAAACTGACTCAAACTTAGAAGAGACTTGGGTTCAAAGACTGATATAAACTTCAAGGGCTCTAGGACAACTTTAGATTTCCTAAATAAAATAAAAGAGAACTATGAAAACTTAAAAACTATAGCTGTATCTCTGTGTTACTACTCTCCATTTCCATTTTATCTACATAGAGCCTTTGACTTTTTTTTTCTACCGTTATAATATATATCTACTTATTTTGCTCAAACCCTTCCAGCTCTGACCACTGGGAGCTCTTTCAACCAGTTCTGATACACCTTGGACATAATCCCACTTTGTTTGAATACTTGCACAAGACACTCCATGCTCATTTTAAGGACTTGCTGTCCTAGCCCTTAAACTGACCATCCCTCCCAAGAGTTCTGGTTCCTTTAACTGGAATATTGTATTAGAAACCAATATCTAAACAAAAGACATGTCCACTGATATTGGGACTATGGTGTCCTTAAGATTATCTTGGTTGAAGAGGCAAATATAATAATCCAAGTATATACATATTTATAAACATTGCTGTATGCAACCATCAGTATCTACATTAAAATAAACATGCCCACAAAAAGACCATATAACTAAAAACAGTCAATTAAAGACAATAACCAGTATTAAGTTACTATATTACCTGAGCACCCACTAGCTGCAGTAATGCTGAGTTCACAGGAAGGAGCTCAATGTCCGTATTGATAGTGGTCTGGTCAAATGGGCAAGCCTTACGGTGGAGTTTATTCAGGCACATTTTGCAGACAGTATGGCCACAGCCCAAACTGATGGGCTTTCGAATTGTTTCGTCGAAAGTCTGAGTGCAAATTGGGCAAGAAAGGAAATCCGTCCATTGTGGAGCTTGTACAGGCATTGCTTCTGGAGTTACAATTCACTAACACGCACACACACACACAAAAATCTAAAGCAAAGATTCCACTGGAATCAAAATCTTTGAAAAAAGTTTATCTTTTTTTAAATATCTTCTGTAGATACAGTCAGCACATAGTGTGAAATATAACCTGGAAAATAGAGAAAGGAAAAAAATTAGAATACTCTTTTTTTATTATTATTTCAATTAAACTGTTGAAAAGAAATAAGTCCAATTTTGACTCTACCATCTTCCATATCACTTTAATGTTACAATATTTTATCTTTATATATCTTTACAAATTCAAAGCTATGATAAAATAACAAGTTCCAACTTCTATTTTCTTTTTTTTTTTCTGGTTTTTTCGAGACAGGGTTTCTCTGTGTAGTCCTGGCTGTCCTGGAACTCACTCTGTAGATCAGGCTGGCCTCGAACTCAGAAATCCGCCTGTCTCTGCCTCCCAAGTGCTGGGATTAAAGGCATGCGCCGCCACCACCGCCCGGCTCCAAATTCTATTTTAAAGGGGAACATATTTCTCAGAAGGATGAATTAGCTTGTCTAAAGGTGTGACCCTTGAAGTCTTGTAGGAGGTTGGAATTAGGATCCCATTCTCTTAAAGACAGATAGACAAGACAGACAGACAGACAGACAGACAGACACACACACACACACACACACACAATTAATTAAGAAATAAAGATTAAGCAAGACAATCTAGCTCAAATCTTAACCCCTTACCATCCTTTCCCTCCCATCACAGACACATAGACTAAAGAGACAGGGAGCTGTATAACAGATAAAGTTGGAGATACAGCACCTCAGTCTGTATTCTCTGAAAGTTATGAACCTCGCAGCTATTTTGTGTTAACAAATAGACCTATCAGGCCTAAGTTCTAATTTAAAGAGAGGAAATTAATACTCTTTTAATCTTTTCTCCTCCACCGTGGTATGTAATTCAGGATGGTCTTGAAGTAATTATTCTGACAGTAACCAGTCCCAACCCAAGAACAAACAACAATTTTTCTGTGTATGGTACTAGAGACAGAACCTAGGAGCTAGGTATGCTAGGCAAGTATGCCACCAATGTGTGAATACCACCATCCTTCAACACTCTTACAAAAATTTTCCAAGTAACAATCCAGTTGGCAGAGACAGGTGGATTTCTGAGTTCGAGGCTAGCCTGGTCTACAAAGTGAGTTCCAGGACAGCCAGGACTACCCAGAGAAACCCTGTCTCGAAAAATACAAAACAAAACAAAAAAAAAAAACAATCCAGTCAAAATGTTTTTTAAAATGTTTACAGTAAAATGAGCCCACTCTTAACCTATTACTCACCTCTCCAATTCTCACCATCACTCTAAATCAATAAAACATCTCATTGTTCCCTATTGTTTCATTGTGCATGTAGATATACAATATATTAACTGGAAAGAAATAATGCTATAAGCTGTTATTTATAATTCTTCTGTCTCTTAACTAAATCAGTTTTTTTTCTCTCTCAGAAAGTATAGCTAGACAGAATGAATGACTATCAGGTACAACCCTAAGTAAAATATTTATATCAACTCCTCAATACTTAAGGTACACTGCAGAAGAAGTGGAAAGACCCTAAGAGCCTGAGGATAGAGGAGTCTTGGGAAACACTGTCTTTTGGACATAGCATGGATGCTGCACTCATGAACTCATAGCAGCTGTAGTAACCTGTACAAGACCAGCAGGAGAACAAGCAAGCCAACAATGCAGCATGGATGGAAGACAGGCTCCTGTGCCTCTGACACTACTGGCAGGTACAAATGAAGGCTGCAAAGGGAGGGAAGTCATTTTTCTATGGAGCATGGCCTCTATTAGGTTGTCCACACTCCTGTGGATGCCCCACACCCATGTGCATGCAGGAAAGCACTTAATTGGACTTCGGTTATTTTTTTAAAAAAAAGAAAGAAAACAGGGTGTAAAGAAGGAAGGGGGGATGTGTTGGGGAAGTGGTAAAGTAGGAGGAAGTGTTAGAGGTGAATATGATGGAAATATATTGGCAAGGTAGCTAACATCTTTAATCTCGGCATCCGACTACATCTCTCTAAATTTGAGGCCAGCCAGGATTATATAAGGAGACCTGGTCTTCCTGTCTTGTCTTTGTTTTAAAGGAAGCATTTTTATTTTAGCTCTTTTATTCTTTGCTATGTCCAGTGCTAAGGATTACAGTGGCAAGCAAGCTAAGTCATATATCTACATGCCTTCTGCTATATATGTAAACACAATCACAAAGTTAAACTGATGGTTACTACTTACAAGTACATTTTAATGGATGGTACAGAGAGATAAAAGCACATGTATACGATGGAACTATTCTTCTTTTCCCCCCCAACAAGATGGAACTATTCTAAATTCAGAAAAGGATGTGTGGGATACTGTGTACTAAAAGTAGTAATATTTAAAATGAAAGTTAAAAGATATGGTAAAAAACAATTCCTAAAATTTAGGTTAAGGAAAGTGCATAACCACAGATTTCTGATTTCTGAGACTAAATAGATTTTAAGATAAGTGAAGGGGGGGGGGGCGGAATAAGGCCAAAATATAGTAGTGTGAAAGTATCCTTTATTCTCCTGTATTAACAACTGTTGTCTCAGAGGCTTACTGTAGCTGCTAACCTGAGCCTAGGCCTAGAAGCTTCTAGACTCCAAATAATCTTATCTAGGCCTAGAATGTTTTCAGCCTCTGAGATTTAATACTGTAAAAGCTCACCCTTTCCCTAGTTCTTTCTGAACTCTGGCTGGCTGGTTCAACTCAGCTGTTCTGGATCAAACTCCTCTCCAAACTGATTGATTCAATTTGGTTTCTCTTGATTTTTCCTGGATTGCTCTTCTTGGCATCACAGTAATTTTGGCCATTTGTTCTAATCTGATTTCTTTTCATTTTCTGGTTCATTTTGTCTTCACTTGTGTCTATCTTGGTCTCTCTTCAACTTGTCTCTGTACAACTGTCCTGGTAAAAACTGTACTCTGCCTCTCTGCACTGCTCTCTCTATCTCTTTTTAAAGATGTACTTATTTATTTTATGTATATGAATACACCATTGCTCTCTTCAGACACACCAGAAGAGGACATAAGACCCCATTACAGATGGTTGGGAGTCACCATGTGGTTGCTGGGAATTGAACTCAGGACCTCTGGAAGAGCAGTCAGTGCTCTTAACTGCTGAGCCATCTCTCCAGCCCTGCACTGCTCTCTCTTGGGCAGATCCTATTCTGTTAAATCTTTCTTTGATTCATCACTTTGTCTGCTATTCAGTTAGACATCACTTTCAAACATGGATGCTTCCTTCTACAAACTAATTATTAAAGGTATATATTAAAGAATTAAAGGTATATACTAAGGGAGTGTCTGTATTCTAGGCAACAGGATTAAGCACGTGTCTTAAGGGCTGAGTCACACAACTAGAAACAGGTATTTTCAGCAAATAACACAATCTTGGGGTTCACAGTGTGATCAGATATCCCATGACAATAGTAGACAACAAGAAAGGTTAAAAGATGATACAAGGGCTGATGAGATAGTTCAGTAAGTACTGGTACTTGCCACCAAGATTTGGGAACCTGAGTTCAACAGCTGGAACCCTCACAGTGGAGGAGAGAATTTCTACAAGTTGTTGTGTTGTCTTCTCAGTACACCATGGCATACACTCTGCATGTTTAAAAAAAAAGTATGGGGCTGCAAAAACTGCTGAGAGCACCTGTTGTTCTTCTAGAAGACCACACCCACATGGTAGCTCACAACAGCCTGTGGTTCTAGATCCAGGGAATTCAATGTCCTCTTTTGGTACCCACCAGCACCAGGCATGCACATGGGGCACAGTCAAATGAAGGCAAAGCGCCCATAGATATAAAAAAAAATTTTTTTAATTTAAAAGAGAGTGGTCACACTAAATAATTAGAGATCAAATAACACAAGACCTAAACTCAGGGTATTCGCTCATGTGGTGAGGAGTAGAAAGATTTCATGAATCTACAGTCAACTGACTTTTGACAAACATGTTAAAAATACAATTGGAAGAAAGGACAATCTTTTCAATAAATGGTACTGAGACAACTGAACATCCACATGAAGAAGGAAAATAGATCCCTCTTTCTCACCAGTTACAAGAACCAAAAAAAAAAAAAAAAAAAGTATTATGGACTTATATAAGATCTGAAACTGTCAAAAGAAAGCACGGAGGAAACATGTCAAGATGTTGAACTAGGCATGTTTTTTTGTTGTTTTTAACACCCTAAAAAGCTCAGGAAACAAAAATAAAAATAGATATTGGATTATATGAATTAAAAAGTTCTGAGAGTATGCCTGGGGAGATAGCTCAGTAGTTAAGAGCACTTGCTACTCTTCCAGAGGACCTGAATTTGATTCTCAGTACTCAGGTAGAGAGGCTCACAACAACCAGTAATTCCAATTTCAGGGACCTGACACCCTCCTCTGGCCTTTCTGGGCAACTCTACACATGTGTGCTCATAAATAAAGTAGAGACAGAGAATAGATAGTGCTTGCTAGTAACCAGCCTAGCTCCAGGCTCAACAAGAGACCCTACCTCAAAAGAATAAGGCAGCAAGTGACAGAGCAAGCTACCTTAAGTCCTCCTGTGGTCTCAAAGCTCAAATGCACATGTACTCATACTCATAAGCCATATTCACTTGGATTCCTTCTCCCTAGTTAAATTTAAAATTAATTAAAAAATCCTTTAAGTCACTCTTAAACATTATATTTCAAGAACTATAAACTACAAAGCACACATTTCTTTGGAGACTCAAAGTCTGACTTAACCGTAGATTCAAGAATCTGATTCAAGAATTTCTTTTTTTTTTTTTTTTTTTTTTTTTTTTTTGGGGATATGTTTGTGTTGTTTAGTCCTGGCTGGCCTGGACCTCACTTGGTAGCCCAGGCTGGCCTCGAACTCATGATCCTCCTGCCTCTGCCTCCTTCAGCAAATCCTACTGGTGTGAGCCACCACTACCAGCAAGAATTTCTACTTCTTCATTCTTTTAAGTTTCTTTCTCCAACTTCATTTTCAAATATTCAAGCTTATCAAATATTGTTGTTTAGATCATGTTTAACATATATACATCCCACAGGATATATGGTTTAATGAACATAATAATCATTCTTTTACT